CTGTAGGTGAATTGAATAAACTAAATTGACCATAGTGTATGAGTATGAATGAATGCGTATGGGTGTTTCCCAGTACTGCGTTGCAGCTGAAAGGTTTTTTGCTGTGTAAAACATTTGCTGGATAAGTTGGCGGTTCATTCCGCTGTGGCTACCCCTGATGAATAAAGGGACAAAGCTGAAGGAAAATTAATGAATGAATGAAAATCTCTGTATAAAAACACTAGTATGTTTGGACTGCAAAGCAGTGCATTCTTAATGAAGCTCATTTGCATATGTAAGCAAAACATTATAAAAAACACATAGCACATTTTTTTGCAGTTCTTAATGTGAGTTGGGAAAGTAAATAATTACATTTTATATAAACTTTTACCCTGTTCACCTGCAGTGTCTTGCCTTAAGAGATCATTTACATCAGATGCCTACACAGTAAAAAATGCTGGCTTCCACACAATTCCTTCATGTTAAGTTGACTTAATTGTTTTTACAAATATAGGTTGAACATAAAAACATTAAGTTGTCCTTCAAAAAACTCAAGAATCGTGTCAATTCAGCTCATATTAAATACGTTGTTTGAACAAGCAGCAAAAATCCTTTTTAGAGTATAGGAGAGAGTTTCTAACAGGTCAGAGTCTTTCATGGGCATTTCAGCTGGTTAAACTCTGTCTCTGTCTACGTTCTGCATGACACTGGGGCTGGCAAACCACAGTGCCAAACACAAACTGTAAAAAAAAGCCAGATGATGAGTTCTGAACACCCAAGTAAAAGAAACACTGTCCTGCTCTCAAAGCTAAACAGTGTATAAATACATGCTTTACAGTCAATAGAAAGTAAATACATATTAACGCAAATAATTATACACTCAAATATACAGTTGAAGTCAGAATTATTAGCCCCTCTTAAATTTCTTTTTTTAAATATTTCCCAAATTATGTTTAAAAAAGGAAAGGAAATTCTCACAGTATGTCTGATAATATATCTTATTTGTTTTATTTCAGCTAGAATAAAAGCAGTTTTTCCTTTTTTTAAACATAATTTTAAGGTCAAAATTATTAGCCTCTTTAAGCTATATAGATATTTATAGTCTACAGAACAAACCGTCGGTTTACAATAACTTGCCTAATTCCCCTAACCTGCCTAGTTAACCTAATTAACCTAGTTAAGCCTTTAAATGTCACTTTAAGCTGTATAGAAGTGTCTTTAATAAGATCTAGTAAAATATTGTTTACTTTCATGATGGCACAGATAAAATAATCAGTTATTAGAAATGAGTTATTAAAACTATTATGTTTAGAAATGTATTTAAAAATCTGCTCTACGTTAAACAGAAATGGGGGGGATAAACAGGGGGGGCTAATAATTCTGACTTCAACTGTATATTTCCATTGGAACTCAAAGTGTTTTTATAAACAAATGCAGTGATACAAAATATTAAATTCATAGAACGTATAATAGTTGTAAAAAGGGTCTTTTATGCATTTCCTCAGAAATAGTAAATCAATAAAATAACATTTCTGCAATATACATTATTTTATTAATTTACTAGATATATGTCAGGGATAATAATTATGAACTAGAATCAATTTTAAGGGATAATAATGGCATTGTTGTATTTTTGAATTTCTATGAGTTGTTTGTTTTTAATATACTATTATATTGTTGTATTTTTGTGCTTTGCCAATATAACATTGTCAACAAGAAGCATCTCATCTTAAATATATATACAGTTTGGGTGCCATTACTTACTTATATATATATTTTAAAAAGTACATATCTGTTTAAATTTGAATGAATGCCGATAAACCATTACGTCACCCATACATTTTCACATTTTATTTTTCGCAAAGGTTATATACTTTCTAATATGATTATAAAAATACTTTGTCAATTTAATTTGATGATTGTTTTCAGTTCAGATTGGGACATCTTGCTTTGACCTACAGTTTATATAACAAAGAATAACTCATTTCCAGACAGCCAGAGAGAAATTGCCTGCCTTGGACAAATGCGATATTAAATGCTCAGTGTGTATTTTAAAGATGAAGCCTTGTAAACGGTGACTCACTGTTATGAAGGTGACCTGCTAAAATCGAATCTGTTCATTACAGCAATATGTCTCTTAAATTGACTTTAAAGAAATCAATAAAAGCTGCGGTCATACTTAAGCATTAATGCTAAATGCTTAATTCTGCCCAGTTTACAGCCTTGTGTTTCTTAAGGACATTTACATGCATTTTTGGTAAAATCAGAAGCTTCACGATATTATGTCCCAAAAATAAACATGTCCCATTACTCAGTATTACAATAAACCCTAATAATGAACATTAACAACTTAAAAATACAGTGAAGAGTTATTTTAGGTTGCATTTAAGTATATTTATATTGTTGTATTCAGAGTGTTGTTCATTCTTCAAGACCTTATTTTCAAATAACATTTTTATAAATAAACATTTAAAATATGTTTTAAAGGTCCCATGAAATTAAAATAAAGATATTTAGGTGTTAGTATCATTTTCAAGATATCTGTAAGCTAGTGTGCTCCAAAACAGTGACAAAATCCACATATTAAACTGATACAAACATGTAGTTTATAGCTTGTAGTTTGTCACTTCTGCCTAAATGGATTTACGGTTTGTCACCTCAAATCATAACCAATCAAATGCTCTCTAGTAACTGACATGCCCTGCCCCTTCAAGAGATTTCTCATTTGCATTTAAAAAGGGGGAGGAGCTACCCTATGTCCCACCCTTTCTTTGTGTTTTGGTTGAGATTACATCAAACATCGAATAAAAATGCATATTTCGAAGTACTTCATGGGACCTTTAAATAAATAAACATTTTCATATGTTAAAATGGCTTACAAAACACCCGAGATATTGATTTGAAAAGCTTAGCATTATTCATAGGCATTAACAATATACAACGAGTTTCCATTTGTTAACATTTTTAAAATAAACTAAAGTGATAACTACTTAAATTAATGTTTAATAACTCATTCAAATTAAAAGCCATTTCATTTAATCAAACAAATTACTAATAAACGTCAGTTGTATTTTTAAGCTATATTAACGTCACCATGAAATACAAATATTTTATGTTTTAAATAGGTTTCATTTGCTACTACACATTGTTAGTCTAAAGGCAGGGGTCGGGAACCTTTTTTCAGCAAAGTGCCATTTCTGATTTTTTTGGCAAATGCATTTTTTTAAAGAGCCATTGGGGGTGTACATACATCTGTATATATTAAGAGTTAACTACTGAAATGAGCATTTTTCTCAGTCTCCTATGTTTATAATTAAAAATTTTGCATTAAAGGCAATGAAAACAACTTATTCGTCACTATAAAAGTAAAATTTCTGAGCCTACACACAAGAAACAGAGAAAAATGCATAGATTCCCTACCACTGGTCTTAAGGTGATCAATTAATTCATGTTAATACACAGGAGGAATTAAGTTGTTTTACTAATCTTTAATCAAAATCTGAGCATTTGAAATGGCAGTTCTTCTCTGATGACCTCAGTTTGGCAGCTTGGGTGAAATTTGCTGAGCCACACCCCTTCATCAGTTAGCCCCCATTCATGTCTCGATCCCCAATTCCGATTTGTTGCTTAAATCTGATTTATTGTCTGTCCGTTTACACGTTCTTTTAGTTGTGACCCATATCTGATTCATGTGTTTACACTTGCCATACGATTCATGATGCTGCATATGCATAAAGGCAGGTTCTAGCATCTGCGCCACACTAGCCACAATGGAAGAAATTGTCTTGCTTCTAGCGAAATATGCACTGTTCACCCAACTTTAAAATGATTTTGAGGTGGAGAAGGAGGGAAATGGCCGTCATTGCAACTTGCGCCTATGGTTTACATGTTCTCCACCATTCAGAGGAATTTGTGAGTACGAGAGAGATCTCAGGAAGTATGGGAGCAAATTGTGACGACTGACCACTTTCCTCCTCCATGTTTCCTCTGTTGTTGTTTATCGTGTAAGCGTCTCCACACATGCTCTACCTTCTACGTCATTAAACCATGGAGAAGTACCACAAGTCGCAAGTTTAATGAGGTACAAAACGGAATGCCTCGATAAATCCGATCTGCCTGTTTACATGGCAGTCGCACTGTCACATATCAGATTTATATTTGATTTTTTTTCACATATGAAGGAGGCCTGAAACCGATCTCTGAATATCCGGATGCATATGTTTTTTTTGTGTGTGTTTATACGGTCAAAGAACAGATCCGATCTGTGTCTCTTGAGCAAGAAATCAGAATTGGGTCACAATTCGCGGTCTTTAGAAACGTCCACGGGACTACGTTTTCAGAACGAGCCTGGGTTGCATTTAACTGGCAGTATAATGTGCAGGGGCCTTTGTTTGCTGCAGGTAAAACATGAGAGGAGGAGCGCAAAAAAATAAAGCCCTGCCCCCTACTCAATATTCCATTTCAATTGGAAATACATCAAAATATTGACATATTTAGTAGTTTAAACATAGTTTAGTAACTACTGTAACAAAGCTAGTTCTCATCGTTGATGTTAGTTAATGGTTTAATGATTGTTTACTAATTAGAATATGTTGTAAACTGTTACCTATTCATTTAATTTGTTGGATATTTGTTTAATTTGAATAAATGTTTAAGTACAAAAATGTCCATGTCCACATAAAAAGTATCGTATCGTAATAATATCATAGACCGGGGTAAATGGCAAGAAGTTATTGCGACCACGGGGAGAACAAGCAAACTCCGCACAGAAATGTCGTCTGGTTTGAAAAGGAATTAAACCAGGGGTATTCTTGCTGTGAGGCAACAGCGCTAATCGCTGGCCACCGTGACGCCCGTTTGAAAGGTGGGAAAGTAGGGTTGGGTGGGGGGGGTTTCTTCGAGACGAAGATATTGAGATGAGAAAAGTCTGGTTATTTATAGTGAGTTAAGGATCGTCTGATAGGATAATCAGTCATTAGCTAAAGTTGGAACAGCTGCAAACAATCATAAGCACGTGATCATCTCAAAATTTGTTTATGAATAAACTTCACAAAGTGAAATTTTGAGATATTTGTACATTGAGATAGCACGTAGAAAGACCCATTTTACCTAGATTCTAAAACTTAAATCAAATTGTTGCCAGAGAATACGTTTGGAAAGGCTTGGTTGAAGATCGGCCATCCTCGCAACCAAAGCAAGACCACAAACTTCAGCATGATGTGGTTGCCTGGTAATACTGATGTTGTTGGAATGTGTTGAAGAAATGTTGCACCTTTAGTCAAAATGGGTGCGTTTTCTCTTTGTGTTTCACCGCAGGAGATGTGGCGATGGTTTGTAGTGTAGGGTCAGCTGTCGAGAGCTGTATCCTGACATCCCAATACCCAGAAGGCCCAACAGCATGGCAAATCTGGGTACGACAGGGCCCTCCGTCTGCAGACCAGTCCGCGCTGCCTGAGTCTGAACACACAAGACAGATGACTGAGTATGTTGTTTTATATTTACATCTGTTTTCATTGACATTGAAACATCCCACAGAAACACTATAGGAATTTATAGTTATTTTGAACCACACTTTTAACCTTATTTTTCACGTAAGAGCTGGTGTAGGCGTGCAGCCATTGAAATTTTGTAATTAAAGGATTTAAAATTTTATCTATAGTCATAAACACTTGTTTGTAGCGCAAGTGATCGTTTCTGCTGTTTGTTATTTCTATGGGAGCTGAATCGCTCTTTGTATAATGAGGTCAATAAAGTACATGAATTAATCTGTTGTGGTAATTGTATAGTTGCTATGGAAACACAACAACTATAGTACTATAAACAAATGAATTTCTGTACTTCTGTACCACAGCTACAGGGTATGTTATGGCAATACAGCACAGTTTACTGTAATAACAACTAAAATATACTACCATATCTATTACAGTTTATATATGTACAATGTATACACTTTATTAGGTAAACCTGTCCAATTACTCGTTAATTCAAATGTCTTATCAACCAATCAAATGGCAGCAACTTAATGCATTTAGGCATGTAGACATGGTCAAGACCATCTGCTGCAGTTCAAACTTAGCATCAGAATGGGGAAGAAAGGGGATTTAAGTGACTTTGAATGTGGCATGGTTGTTAGTGCCAGAATGGTCTGAGTAATTCATAAACTGCTGATCTACTGGGATTTTCACGCACAACCATCTCTAGGGTTTACAGAGAATGGTCAGAAAAAGAGAAAATATCCAGTGAGCGGCAGTTCTGTGGGCGCAAATGCCTTGTTGATGCCAGATGTCAGAGGCGAATGGCCGGACTGGTTCGAGCTGATAGAAAAACAACAGTAACTCAAATGCAGAAGAGCATCTCTGAACACACAACACATCAAACCTTGAGGCAGATGGACTACAGCAGCAGAAGACCACAAGTAGTGTGCCACTACTGCCAGCTAAGAACAGGAAACTGAGGCTACAATTCACACAGGCTCACCATAATTGGACAATAGATGATTGGAAAAACGTTGCATGGTCTGAGTCTCGATTTCTGCTGTGACATTCAGTGTCTGACATTCAGACAGTGGTGGTGGTGTAATGATGTGGAGGATATTTTCTTGGCACACTTTTGGTTTGTGAGTACCAATTGAGCATTGTGTAAACGCCACAGCCCACCTGAGTATTGTTGCTGACCATGTTCATTCCTTTATGACCACAGTGTACCCATCTTTTGATGGCTACTTCCAGCAGGATAACGCGCCATGTCATAAAGCATGAATCATCTCAGACTGGTTTCTTGAACATGACAATGACTTCACTGTACTCAAATGGCCTCCACTGTCACAGGAGCTCAATCCAATAGAGCACCTTTGGGATGTGGTGGAAAGGGAGATTTGCATCATGGTTGTGCAGCCGACCAATCTGCAGCAACTGCATGATGCAGTCATGTCAATATGGATTGAAGTCTCTGGCTGCGTCTGAAACCGCATACTTCCATACTATATAGTACGCTAAAATCAGTATGCGAGCCGAGTAGTATGTCTGAATTCATAGAATTCGAAAAACAGTATGCGAGAAGTACCCGGATGACTTACTACTTCCGGCGAGATTCTAGAGTGCGCATCCAATGCATGCTGCGCTATCCCATGATGCCCCACGAGTGAATTCATGAATGGGAGTAAAGCGACGCAATTGACGCAGGCAGGTCACGTGACCATGCCAAAATGGCGGATGTAGTACGTCGGAATTCCATTCATACTTTTCAAGTTCATACTGTATAGAACGTACTTTTCTAACGGCCGAGTAGTACGTTTAAATTCAAATGCAGTACCTACTGAGTAGTAGGCGGTTTCGGACGCAGCCTCTGAGTAATATTTCCAGCAGCTTGTTGATCTATGGCATAAAGGGTTAAAGGATTTTCAAAAAAGTTTTGGAGGCAAAAGGTAGTCCAACCCGGTACTAGTAAGGTGTACCTAATAAAGTGGCCAGTGAGTGTGTATGTAGAATACACTTCACTATACATGGTTCAAAAACACTTTCAAATTAACTATTAATTACTATAGTTTTTTTCATGTAGGATTATTTCACTCATACTTTGACTTTTTTTGCCTAAAGACAATAGGTCAGAGGTCAGCATTTATGGATATCCTGTTAGAATGCATTATGGTTCTTTATCAGTGTTGCCAGTTCCATGGTTTTCCCGAGGTATTTGGTTACTTCCATGGGTTGTTTTTTAGTCCACGGGTTAAAGCAGGGGTGTCCGAAGTCGGTCCTGGAGGGCTGATGTATTGCTGACTTTAGCTCCAACTTGCTTCAACACACCTGCCTGGAAGTTTCTAGTATACATAGTAACATCTTGATTAGCTTGTTCAGGTGTGTTTGATTAGGGTTAGAGCTAAACTCTCCAGGACACTAGCCCCCCAGGACTGAGTGTGGACAACCCTGGGTTAAAGGCTTGAAATATTGCGTTAATTATGTTTATATGGTTGCGTTTAAATAATTTTCTTTGCCAAATTTTTATTTTAATAATAAGGGTGGGATGATGAAATAGACTACATTTCTATGGGGTGCAATTAGTAATTACTAATGTACATTTATTTTCAAACATGAAACTGTATAATGCATACAGTGATGTTAAATATTTACTTTAAGTTCCAAATGTGTGATGGCATAGTTTGATACTTTGGGCTAGATTTGTTGTGAAAGCCTGGCAACCCTGTTCTGTATTGGCACTGAATGATAATAATGTTTTTAATTCACAAAAGTATTTTTTATTGTTGAAAATGATTCTTTAGATTATTATAATGTTCTTAACATGATCGAAACAAATGGTTCTTTGAAGAAACTTTCAGTAAAGGCTTCTTTTAGAGACTTGATTATTGTTTTAAAAACTGTTAAATGAGAGATCAGTCCAGGAAGGTGTTAGAAGTATTATTGTATTTCCTAGATTAGGAATAAGACGATTGAGCTTTTCAATATAAACATGCATTTAAGCAGTTTCCTTGAAGACAATTTAAAGTGTTTATAAACAACACAGTGTATATTACAGATTACAGAGTCTATTTACAGTGTTTCTGGATTACATTTTTGAGCATCATTGATAGAAACAAACAGCAAAACATCAGAGGTGGTTAATTCCAGACCAATCTGTGTCTTAAAATAGCTGCCAGGAGAGTTTTAGAGATTTGGAGCAAGCGTCTCATGCCACTGGGCTCAGGATTTAATTACTCAGCATTAATCTGGACAGACATTCTGATTCAAAAAGGTCCAAAAGGTTTAAAAAGACTCAAAAAGGTACATTTTTAAAAAATTCATTTCATTTTTTGTTTATTTATTTATTTATTTTTGCCTTTATATTGAATTATGGGACCTTGGTCTTTGCTTTGACAAGACTTGATTATTAAAGTTAAACTCTGCAGATTAACAAATCGACTATTATTGACTTTTTTAGGAGTGGTAAACAATCTATTCACTGTAAAAAATGAAAATTCCACACAATTCCAAATGTTTTCCCAACACAAATTAAGTTAACGTCATTATTTTTACATATTGAACATAATTCAATTTTCTTTTCAGTCTGGTCCCTCTATTCATCTGGGGTCACCACAGCGGAATGAACTGGCAAGTTATCCAGCACATGTTCTACTCAGCGGATGCCCTTCCAGCCGCAACCCATCACTGGTAAACATTCATACACACTCATACACTACGGACAATTTAGCTTACCCAATTCACCTGTACCACATGTCTTTGCACTGTGGGGGAAACCGGATCACCTGGAGAAAACCTATGCGAACACGGGGAGAACATGCAAACTCCACACAGAAATGGCAGCTGACCCAGCCGAGGCTCGACCAGCGACCTTTTTGCTATGAGGCGATTGTGCAACCCACTCCACCACCACACCACCAAAAAACTTAAGATTTCAATGTTGGTTCAACTCATATTAAATAAGTAGTTTAAACAAGCATCATTTTTTGAGTGTTGTCTGGGTTGTTCATGTAAATTACAGTTCAATTTTTTATTTTTAATAGTTTTTGTGTGTGTGTGTGTTTCTTCAAATGTCTTACGCTCATTCACTTTTAGTATGATTTGATTATTTAGCATACATTTTTACTCATAACTAGGCCCACACGGAATCTGCACGCCCAGACTTCCGCAGATTTTTAGCACATCATTAATTCTGTTTATTTATTTATTTTTTTCTGTTTTTTTATTTTTGTTTATTTATTTATTTTATTTATATGACATTTACATTTACATTTAGTCATTTAGCAGACACTTTTATCTAAAGCGACTTACAAATGAGGACAAGGAAGCAATTTACACAACTAAGAGCAACAATGAATAAGTACTAAAGGCAAGTTTCAGGTCTGTAAAGTCTAAGAAGGGAAGTGTTAGTAGTTTTTTTTTTTTTTTTTTTTTTTTTTTTGTACAATTAGTGTGATATTCAAAGAGGCAATTGCAGATTAGGAAGTGAAGTGGAGACTAAATAGTTGAGTTTTTAGTAATGAGTAAATGTGTGTAAAATTATATTTATTCAGTTTTTAAATTAATGACAGTAATATTATTGACTAATGTGAAAATGTTCATGTGATTTATGTACAATGCAGTTTGTAAAGTAACATTTTTTGTCTTTTAGTAGAGATATTATATGAGAGACTTGCTTTGTTTACCAAATAAAGTGAATCTAATTGGATTTGCATTTTAAACATTTAATAAAAGATAAAAAGATAATATTTTTTATTATTTAGTTATGATACTCCTAAAATAATTACGCAGAAATCCGCAGATTTTAACCAAAATTCTCTGCAGAAATAGCAAAAAAAAAAAAATGTCCACAGATTCCGTCTGGCCCTACTCATAACTAACTGTAAGCATTACAAGAATCCGACATATACATGCTGTACATCAATTTAATAGCTAAAAAGCCTAAAAAAAACCCTGTATTGTCCTCTTAAGAGCATTGAACACAATACAAACAGATACATTTGCAGATATAAAACATGATTCAGTCTTACATACAGTATGATTCACAGGTCCATGATATTTGTTAATATAACTAAACAAAAAAGGATTCTATGTAGATATATAGCCATATCTAATGTAAAGAAAAGAAGTCGTTGTTGGAGACGCATTTCCTTTAGCTGTAGAAACAGGACCCTCACCTGCAGGTATCGAATGTATCCGGGTGTCAGGAGAGGAATGCGGAAGAACATCTCAGCAGAGCCTCTTTTCAACCAGATCAGTCCCTCTGGCCAGAGAACCAAACCGTCCCTTCCACACACAAACACGCACACACACACACAAGCACACACACTCCAGACGGATCTGAACTCTCCTGACACCTGCAGACTCTTTTAAAGCTGTGGGTGCTTATATAAGGTGGTCACATGTTCACATCAAATCCTCTCTGTGTTTTTGTGAAGAGACTCAGTGAAGAGTGTGTGTGTTTGAGTGTTTGGATAAATATTTCTGGATTAGAGCAGATATTTAGATTAAGTTTATTATTTGGTGGACACAGTTGAATATAATGACTTTGCAACTGCTTTATAGACCTACTATATCCTGTCACGTTTCAGATCTGATTTCTTTAAAAATCTGTGATCTTCACTACCTGTTAGATATTTGATATAATGCGGGTCTCAGACTGGACAAGAAGCACTGCATTAAATTCCATTTCCCCCTGCCCTGTCTTTAAGATATGACAGTTTATTTTACCCCAGTATTTTCAATGGAATTTCTGCTCTAGTGTTACGGGTCCCGGCCGCGAAACTCGAAGGCAGATTAAAAGTGCCTGGATTATCAGGAGAAACAAAATGACATTGAAACTTCAGTGTCTTTCCACAGGCGCAGCTTAGTAGCATCAGTTTATTAACAGTCATATTATAGCAAACATATCCTCACAAATCATGTTTCATTTAATCAAACATACAGTTTAGTTCTCTTTTTACCACAATGAAGTCTTCAAATACTTATACACTCTGTACTCTCTCATCATAACACATATAAATATTATACCTTCTATATATTTATCAGTAGGACACAGAATACACTTAAAACTCTTTATCAACCATCTATTTTATTTTTCTTTCTGTATCATTTAAATTAAAACAGTTACACTTGACACCAATTACCAATGTTACTCTCTACTCTCATAAACTTTATACATTAACAAATATATATATATATATATATATATATATATATATATATATATATATATATATACAAATAATAAGTCATTTTCTGTTCAATTATTACATACTGAGTAAAATACATCATATCATTTACTGGAGAGTCAGTTATAACAAACTCAGACTAACTGTCATTTTACTGGTACTTTCATCTGAATCACTCTTCTCAATTAACAACTGTAAAACAGCTATTCACTTTAAAACACAAAGGAAATGTGTAATCACATGTTTTCCACAGTCATAATAATATACAAATTGACTTTTTATGAAACATACCTGAATTATCAGGAGAAACAAAATCACATTGAGACTTCAGTGTCTTTCCCTAGGCGCAGCTTCATAGCATCTGAAGTAAAAACAACCAGTATCGCCATGGTAACCCACAGTGCATGCTTATGTTATTTTGTTTGTCATTAGTAGTGAAAACAAATTAATTTTAACAGTGTATAAATAAATTAATAGATGCATTAATAACAACATAAACATTACTGAAAAATCCAGCTTAAACTAGCCTAGGCTGGTTGGCTGGTTTTTGCTGGTTAACCAGCCTGGTTTTAAAGGGGTTTGAGCCATTTCCAGGCTGGTTTCCAGTCATTTCCAGTCTGGTTTTAGCTGGTCAGGCTGGGAGAAGACCAGCCAAAACCAGCTATGTCCAGCTAAAACCAGGTTGATCAAGCTGGTTTTTGGTGGATTTAGCTGGTCATTTTTTTCAGCCTGACCAGCTAAGATCAGGCTGGAAATGGCTGGAAACCAGCCTGGAAATGGCCAAAACCCCTCTAAAACCAGGCTGGTCAACCAGCCAACCAGCCTAGGCTAGTTTAAGCTGGATTTTTCATTAGTGGATACACAATGGTGTATCACACTAGCCTGTTGCTTCTGATGGCGCTAGTGGTTACACGGTCTTTCATCTCATTTTATGCTTGACCAACTATAAGAAAGCTTAAGTCTATTGAACTGAATGTATTGTAATTACATTACAACGTGGATGCTGTAAAAACAACCTTGTGAAATTGACAATAGTCACATTAAGCTTTCAGCGGAAGTTTATCGTCGGCTTTAAAACTCTAGCTGTGCATAGAGTCCATTGTCACATATCATGGTTTAACACCTATTTCATTAATTTATTACTTTCAACAGCTGAAATTCAATCCATAAATTATATTAATAGTTGGTAATTAACTTAAAGCAGGGTTTTTCAAAGTCTAAGACAGTGGGCCTCCCTTTTGACACAACTTATCCATTGGCGGCCCCCTCCTCCCAAACACGCACGCACACACACACACACACAAAATTCTGGAGGTTTTCCTGCTACCTCATCATGCTTGGATTCAAGGTGTCGCCGAAGTTTAGCGGGTGTCATGCTGTCATTAGCCAAAATATCTTGACAAACCACACATAAAAGTCGTGGTTCATCAGCTGGTCCTGTCCACGTAAATCCTAAACTGAAATACTGATCATCATATCGTCGTCTTTTGGGTTTAAGCCCTGAATTTGAAGGCTTTGAATCGGGGGGTCTCAGAAACCTATCCATTGTACTAGCAGCATAGACTGTAAATTAGCAGGCATATACCTGTATTGGCGGGCTTGCCAAACAGAAGCGAATTCACAGCTATGGCCTTCTGGGTAAAAAAGGTTTTCTTATTTTTTACGTATTATTTTTTTGCTTTGTTTAATTAAAACGTTTAAAATAATTAAAAAATACATATAATAATTAAACTTAATAATTATATTTTTATTATATAATATTTTTTCCCGCGCCTCCCCTGACATGCTCTGGCGCCCCCCAGGGGAGGCGCGCCTCACACTTTGAAAACCCCTCACCTAAAGTAAGAACAATATAATTTATTGCCAAAAACATTTATTTACGCTTTTGCCATATAGGCCTTTGTGGAGAAAAGTAACTAACTACTTTAGGAAGTAACTTGTAGTGTAGCTAGCTACGTTTTGTTGTAGTGTTCAACATTTATGTGGATGAAACATTTTGATAACGTTTTTGAAAAACATTTTTCTTAATCTGTACACAATGTCACACAATGTCATATGTTATTATTAGTTTAGATTTAGGTTGTGACGTCAGGTGAGAAAAAATCTGCGTCTTATGACGATGTTATTTTGACATAATGACGTCAAATGACGTTGATATTTGGTTGACTTTAGGTTGTGTTGGGAAGTGATCAAAATCCAACCTTGAGCCAACATCTTAAAGCAGGGGTGTCCAAAGTCGGTCCTGGAGGGCCGATGTCCTGCTGACTTTAGCTCCAACTTGCTTCAACACACCTGCCTGGAAGTTTCTAGTATACCTAGTAAGAGCTTGATTAGCTAGTTCAGGTGTGTTTGATTAGGGTCGGAGCTAAACTCTCAGGACACTGGCCCCCCAGGACCGAGTGTGGACAGCCCTGTCTTAAACCAACATCATATTGACGTCAAATACTGGCATTCATTCATCAGGTATAGCAACCAAAATCCAACATCTGATAGTGGTAACGTCTACAACAATGTCAAGCTGTATCATCATTAGATGTTGATATTTGGTTGGTTTTAGGTTTGACGTTGAACATTGATCCAACTGATGTTGAGTTCTGACATCAACCCAATTTTCATTTCCAAACAAAATGTAACATCCTCAAAACTAAAGGATATAACATCAACCTGACGTCGTGTGTCTGTCCTGTGTCTGCTGAATGGACATTTTGAATGTTCTGAAAACTTTCAAAAATTATTTTTGGTAAATTAGGGACGTACCAAAACATTCTCTGAACATCATTTTTGTAAACTGGGAAGATCATTTACCAATCGAATTGATATATTAACCTAACCCTAACCCTTTTTGTTATTTTTGGAAAGTATTTGCTTTACTTACTGTCTTGAAGCATAATGTAAGCTATAACATTACCAATCATAACCAAAGCTTTTCGCATTAATACTTTCCGTTTTGTATAACAGCATTTTTCCCTGTATGTAAAAGACACAAACAAGTGAACCAGGTTGACATTTAGGATGCAGAACAGTGGATTAAGTCACAATCTCATTGTTCCCTTGTTAGCTGTAATGGATGACGTGAACAGATAATCAAATGGGTTTTTAAATCCTCTTAACACTGACTTATGAACAAAGCATTGGAGCATTAAGAACCACTGATGCAGCTAATGAGTTTGGGGCAGATCTGCCTTTAATGATAGGTATGTCCTCACCTTAATGAGGGTTAAGTAGGGCTTAAATCATCTAAAGGCTACTTGATACTGCAAACAGAGCACAGAAGGGCAGCTTACTGACCAATCTGTAGTTCCCATATGGTAAACAGCCTACATTTTCAAATGTTTTTCAGTATATAGATTTACTAGTTTATATATTACATATTTATATACATTAAAGAACATTTTAAACATTTATTATTACATTAAATAAAAAATATTTGCATAAAATAGATTTACATGTACTTTACATCAGTTTTGAGTGTATAATTATTTGATGAACTATAATTATTCTACAAAAATCACAGCTGCACGTACATTGCATAACTTTACATACATGTGTAGTTGAGTTACTCTTCTTTTAAAATGCACTTATAGTATTTAACACATCATCAAAGCTAAAGTAAATGTATGATTGTGCATTTACACTTGTCAGGTGTTTTAATAGTCACAAACCTTTTTTTATTTATAGTTTTTTACTGGAAATACAAAATCCAAATACAACAATATGGCATTCAGCTTTACAAATTGTGTATAACACATGGAAGGCTCAACACACGATAATATACAAAAATACAAAAAAGGCAGGTAACAAAAAACTTACAAAAAATTAGAGTAAAAAACAAACATAAAAAAGAAATTAATATAAATCAAGTTATATGATACAAATAAATTCATTTATTTTCATTCATGTTTTTTTATCAGAGACTTCAAATTCATTTTAGCCAGGGCATTTGAAAAAATTTTAAGTTCTTCTATAAATACAATGAGTAATGGAGGTGTTTTGAAATGTCTGCTTTTATGAATAAAATATTTGGCTAATACAATGATCATAATTATCAAATTGTGCAAAACAGAGCAATCTTTAGTAATGCCATTTAATACATCTTGTAATGTAAAAGTCAAATCTTCAGCATCCACATTCTTTATTATCAACCAGTCTTGTACTTTTTTCCAAAATGATTGAACGGTGCTGCAAGTAAAAAATATCTGTTCTGTGTCTTCAATTAAGTGTTTACATAAATAGCATGGTGAATATTCTAAATTAAATTTCAAGTGTAAAAACCTATTGGAAGGGTATATTTCATTTCATATTTTAAATTGTATTTCTTTTGGCTTGGGGAGAATTGGAAATTTAAGATATGCCGTTCTAAAATATTTAACAGTATTTTTATCCAATGATATAACTTATTTCTTAATACTTAATAGGGGAAGCACGATTGGATACTAATTTGTCTTAAATTTTTATTCGAGCAAAGTTTATTATTGATTTCAATCTCACCAATATTTAAATAAGGGAAGGACTGGAGTAATTTTCGAATAGGAAAGGAACCTTTAATTAACATTTTATGCCTGAGGGTATTGCATTAATAACAGTGAAAAACTGCTTTGTATTACAAGCAAATCCATGCTTTAGGGTGAACGTATTATAATCTAGAACAATGGTTTTTAAACTTTTTTTCACCAAGTACCACCTCAGAAAAAAATTTGTCTCACCAAGTACCACCATAATGACCAGTATTGAAATACAGTAGCATAGTAGGCCTAATTAAGCATCTAATTATGCATCTCCTCAGCCACTTTAAACTTTATAAATAGTTTGAACATTAACTGCACTTGCAGATTAAAAGAAAGAAAAAACAAAAACAAAACTTCAACATTTAAATTGAAATGTGCTTCTAAAAGTTCATTAAAAACGCCCCTGTTCTTAAAAGGAAAAGGAAAACTGCTGTACTTTAATGTAAATCATTAGGATGTCAGGCTGACAAAACATTGCTGCACTCTGATTCGAGTTTTATTCATGGAGAAAATTAAAAAGCTCTGCAGTGTTTGGGTGTTCTAAGATAACTAGTCTAACGAAATGATATTCCATACAAAGTATAAAGCTGATTGGTCTGTTCTTGTCACATGACTTGAGGTGCGGCATTCTGAAAAGTGTAGATGTTTTCAACTGAGTACGCCTGGAATACGCAAGCTCGTTGCGCTGCTAGCGCCTTCATTATAAATAATGAACATGTGCATGGAAATGGTGCGATATGTAAACAACTGCCTTCATTTGCTGCCGTTCTGTGGCCTGTGTATTGGGGACCACTGCTCAAGCATGTATCTGCTCTGCAAGTGCCACGCGCCTCTTTCTCTAGTTCTGCGCCAATTGGATTGATTTTTAGCAGCTGATGACGCGATGCACTAAAGTAAACATTTTAAGCACAGCGATCATAGGTTTTAGAAAACAGCCTCTGATGATCACATTGGTGCTATTGTAATCATCAAATTATTAAAATTGTAATAATTTTTTCTTTCATTACTCATTATTTCATTATGCATACTGATCTAGAAAATTTCCCCTTCCATCCATTATGTCTGTTACAGACCAAATATTTTTATTTAACAATTCTTCATAAAAAATGGATTTGTTCCTATGTAGAATATACTTGTTATTCCAGATAAGGGTATTGTGGGGTGTAAAATTGTGTGTGATTAATAGTCACAAACTAATCTTTCACCACTGCATTTCTGTCATTAAAATATTTCTGGTTTGATGTTGAATGTCTATTTAATATACTGAGTGGTCATAGAGTTATTATTAAGAAAAGAGATGTCTAATTTTACATAGGTAAAAAAGATATAGATAAGAGTCTCCTGTTTTTGTTAAATCTGTTGATATTATTGGGTAAGTTTCATCTGTGTAAATGGCCAGAAAGGAAGCCTAACATCTTCCATTTTAAGGCTGATTAAAAAATTTATTTTGAAACTCTTAAAGGACTTTCAAGTCGTAAAGCAATGAGAACTGTGAATATACTTAAAAACCTAACTCCTCTTCTCTTTGGTAAATGTTATGTAACGTTACCCGCTCTTGTTCTTGATTTGTTTTTTTTTTTTCTTTCCCTCCTTCTTTTTTGTCACTTCGTTTAAACATGTTCTGTCATCAACTAGCGTGAACTTTCAGGCGCTTGTTGTGTAACCCCGCATGTGACGTCATCAACATGCACCAGCAGTACGGTAAGACCCACTGAGAGTGGAACGCGGGCCAGACTTGACATTTGAAAAGAAAACTTAAAGCAGAAACCGTGAAGAAACTGTGCAGATTGGATACAAATATGAGAGTACAGTTCGGAGGCGACTCAGGATAATAGCTGCATATTTTCTTTTAGGTACGTTCACGAGTGTCGCACTATCATTTCTTGTGAAATCGAAACCTAAGGAGAAGCTGAGTGTTGATTTCACTTTGTTTATGTGTCTAACGCTGATGTTTATAAGCCTTTAGCGGTGTAACAAGTTCACAATAAACCTGAATATATGCAGAAACGTACCACCAACAACGATAGCCATAGATTGATCCCTTATTTTTTCACGATTGCACTTTTACACCAAAAACCGAATATTTAGAGTCGTTTTGCAGGAGCAGCTGAACAAGGCTGAAGCGTTATTTTGACATGTATATGCTGTACACAACGACAATTATATGTTTTAAACCTCCCCCTGCAGCTTTAACATAGAGGTAAAGTAGGTTTCATACTCGGACATTCAGACATTCTCCTTAATATAATTTCAGAAAGTATTCTTTGCTAATTCTAAATAGGCAAATCATATTAGCAGCAAATGGCTATCAAAGTACAGCATTGGTCACAGTGTATTCGATAGTGTTAATGTTGTTTAGAAGTCATACTTGTATGCTAATTCCGATCGAATATTCAAAGTAACACGGTAAACAATATAGAGACTGCTAAATGAACAAAGGTGTGAATATAAAACCAACTTTACCTCTATAGTTTTAACCTAGAAATCTAAGCTGAGGTTTAGTTTAGTTTCTTTGGAGTCAAATGGGTACTTTATAAAGATTTCATTGTATTATAAAGTGTAAAATTTGCGTAGATTTTAATGTAATCACACGAGTAAATGAATGAATTTCACCACAACATTATCTCTTGTATTTATGGTTATGTAACAATATAATTTATAGTTGTGGTTATTTTATAATTATTGTAAATGCTGGTTGGTTAAAAGCATCTTTTAAAGCAAACAGCTAAATACAAAATCATATATTTAAACTATATTCAAACATTTTTAGCATTAACGCACACATTTTAGTCACGTACATCTCTAGATTTTAAAAACAAGACATATTTACCAGAAAACATATCATCCATAGATTAAATTTTACAGTTTTAATCTCGTCTGTGTTCTAAGATTTTGCTCTTTTATCATTCCTACTCTATATAGTCTCAACATTTGAAGTGGATCAAAACGTTTGATTAAAGTTGCTCTAAAGCTTTTGAACGACCCATTCTTGTCTTAGGACTATTTTTAAAATCGTCTTTTGATCTACTTTAGATGTTGACATCCATCAGACCCACTCCCACCTCAAAACAACAACAACCAGATCAACAAAAGGGAAATGTGTTGTTTACAATATTTTATAATTTATACAGTGATATAAAGAAAAATCTGAGATCCTTTCTGTTAAAAAAACCCTAAAACAATGGAAAATTGTCATATTTAATTTATTTATTGAATATGAAACATGAATTTAAACCTGACTTCATCTAATCATATTTTAGAATAAAAAACTAATGTAAAATCTACTGTCAAGTGCAAATATTTAAATTTCACAATGCTCAATTTGCATAAAAATAACACTTTATTAATGCGTAAAATGAACATTTTAGAAATATAACCTACCGTGAAAGTATGGTGATATTTATCATGCAATTTATTTAAATTATATTCCATGATCAGGTGAATTGGGTTGGCTAAATTGTCCGTAGTGTATGAGTGTGTGTATGATTGAGTGTATGGATGTTTCCCAGACATGGGTTGCGGCTGGAAGGGCATCCGCTGCGTAAAAAAACGTGCTGGATAAGTTGGCGGTTCAGTCCGCTGTGGTGACCCCGGATTAATAAAGGGACTAAGCCGACAAGAAAATGAATGAAAAAAGTATAAAGTATAAAGTGTTTTCTTATATATGTATGTAAAATAGGCTTATATATGTAATATATTGTAATATATTAAATATTGTAAAATATGTAATATATTAACATAATCTCTAAAAAATATATTAATTGCAAGAATAAAACAAACAATTTTTTTTAAATAGGGTAAGTGTTTGATTAACCATTGCTAATGGTGTACATATATTTTGCAGCCAGTTTAGATGTCATTTCGTCCTCTCCGAGTATATAGTAATGTTTTCTCTGGGTATCGCAGCTGTGCATGTGCTGTCAGATGTGAAACCAGGTGGAAAGTAGTCTTTAATAAAAGAGTAATGCAATAACGCATACAAGCTTTGGAAAGCAAATGCAAAAGTTGAATCCTGGAAATTTTAGGAGACTTAGAAACCCGGACGGGACTAATTTTTTTAAGTCCCAAAAATGCACGTCTCTGTAGGTTTAAAGAGCACGTGAAACTGTCTGCATGAAACTGGTTGACGAGAGAAGATTTTCCACTACTTAATTGTGGATGTTTGGTATATATTCATTCATTCATTTTCATGTCGGCTTAGTCCCTTTATTAATCTGGGGTCGCCACAGCGGAATGAACCGCCAACTTATACAGCAAGTTTTTACGCAGCGGATGCCCTTCCAGCCACAACCCATCTCTGGGAAACATCCACACACACATTCAAAATGTATATATATATATATATATATATATATATATATATATATATATATATATATATGTGTGTGTGTGTGTGTGTGTGTGTATATATATATATATATATATATGTATTTTATGTATATATATTTTTTTTGAATGTTGCAGGATTTGTGACCCATTGGATTAAACATGAAGAGAGCAGCACAAGCATCAGACGAGCCTCTGAAGAAGAGGAAGACGGCCCGTGAGGAATCGTCCGATGAAGATGAGGAGTCTTCTCAAAGAACCACCAGTCAGGGTTAGACCGGGGTTTCCGCTTATAATTACAACCTTTAAACTAATCTGTGTACTTTGGTGTAGCACTTACTTCTCTGAGCACAAAGAGTTCCTTTGTATAATTAGCACTGCTTGTCTGTATTGCCTTTTCTTGTCGAATTGATCCTTCTCAATTGGACTAAAACATTTGCAAAATGACTCAATGTAAATGCAAGTTTCTAAAAGGTCATGTTTATTTTCCAGACTCGAGTCAGAGTGAATCTCTCAGTGATGTTGAGGATCATAAACCCAGTTTCTCCAGGCCATCTGATTCCCAAAATTCTCAAGGCAGCATGGCCCATAATGAAGCCTCTAACAAATTTGCGATGTACAATAATGTCTCTCAGAAACTCATGGTAAATAACTGCTGAATAAAAAAAATCGGTCTTGTCAGCTTATTAAACACATTTTAATAATACATTCTTTCCTTTCCTTTAGGCCAAAATGGGTTTCCGAGAAGGCGAGGGTTTGGGAAAGTATGGTCAGGGCCGGAAGGAGATTGTGGAAGCGTCGACTCAGCGTGGGCGCCGGGGTTTGGGTCTGATGCTGAAGGGCTTTCAGGGTGACCTAAATGTAGACTGGGAAGATGAGCCGGAGGTAACATTGGTGGAATTGTTCTGCACTGTAGAGAAAGAATCCATTATTGCTTTCTCATGCATCATGTTTTCTCTTAGCCGAGTGCTATAGAACAGGTGTCGTGGTTTCCAGAAAGTTCTCCAGAGATCCCAGATTCGGATGAGCTGAGGGATTGGATGACCATTGGAGAGGTATTGCAATGAACTCAAACTCTTAGGCCACTATCATTCACCCGACGCAATGAGGTGCAAAAAGTGTTTGGCTTGATTTGTTGCTATTTTCCAAACAATGCAACCGTAATTTGCGCTACGTTGTTTATATAGTAAATCACCATATGGGGCATGAGAACAACACGTGTGATATAACTCACTAATTTTTGACCACACTTCGTTATTATTATTCGTTTATTCATTTGCTGGAAATTAGAACTGAATTTAGAAATAGTTTTAAAAGAAATCTTTGCGCTCAACAAACAAAATTAAATATGTGGGCTAATGGATGTCTTCAGTGGAGTACAACACCATTAGCTTATTCAAGAAAGTAAACCAGTAAAGGAAAAAGTTTATCCTAGCGCAGATTGCTCATTTAATCGTTTTCTTCATTTTTTCCATTCAGCTTTTTTCACTTACAAAGTTCACAGTGTTAATAGCAAATGCACCTTGGTGTGACACAACTGACTCTTAAAAGAAATGGTAGATGAGACTCTGATTGGGTTAATGCACGTTATGCTTAAAACACACCCAGAACTCATTAAGAGAAAAAGCACAACCTTGTTAGAACATGTGCTGCAGCATAATAGTAAAAGTGGATTCAGACACGCCCTCAATGCATTTGCGCTATGTGCTTTAGACTTTGCGCCTAGACCGTCAAAATAGAGCCCACTGATTTTTAAAGGTGAAAATTCATAACCATTATAATCTTAATGGTTTAGTTCACTTAAAAATAAAAAACTTACTATTTACTCGCCCTCAAGTGGTTCTTAAACGTTGAGTCTTTCTTCTTCTGTTGAATTCAGATTTGAATAATTTGTTTCGTACACAGTATGATGCACTCAAAAAAAGATATTAGCTGTTTGTTCAAACTAATTACTTAAAATGAGCTGAAACAACACAATTCTTGAGTTTTTTTGGGGAGGAAACTTAATTGTTTTATGTTCAATCAACTTAAATTTCTTAAAAAAAAAAAGCCTAAATTAAATAATTCCTTCACTTCAAATCGATTGTGTGGAACCCAGCCTTTTCTACAGTGTATGATTGAAATACTTATACAACCTTAAAAGCAAAGATAAATCTAAAACAAACATAGTATTAATAGGAATCTTAATTTATGGGGTAGAATAAGAAGTTAAAACACAGACAATCAATTTTAGATATATAAACAGTGCTTCCCACAGGTTTAAAATATACTTGTGGTGGTGACTGGATTGAAGTACATCTTTTACCCAAAGCACATAAATGGTTAACCACATGCGACTAATGTATTATGTATAAATAATGTAATTTTTTATTTATTTTAACACTAATATATACTGTTTTTTTTTTCAAAGGGTTAAAGTAACAAAAAAAAAAATAATAATAATATTAAAAAAAAAAGAAATCCACTATATTTCTTGTTTTTATGCTATTCAGGAGGTATGTGCACCCACATGTACACCCACATCTGCTGCTGACATTTTGAACAGGATAGCCAAATCATTTTAGATATACAGTTGAAGTCAGAATTATTAGCCCCCCTTTGAATTTTTTTTCTTTTTTTAAATATTTCACAAACTATGTTAAACAGAGAAAGGACATTTTCACAGTATGTCTGATAATATTTTTCTTATAAGTCTAAGTCTTATTTGTTTTATTTCAGTTAGAATAAAAGCAGTTTTTACTTTTTTTCTTTAAACATTTAAGGGCAACATTATTAGCCCCTTTAAGCTATTTTTTTTGATAGTCTACAAAACAAACCATCATTATACAATAATTTGCCTAATTACCCTAACCTGCCTAGTTAACCCAATTACCCTAGTTAAGCCTTTAAATGTCACTTTAAGCTGTATAGAAGTGTCTTGAAAAATATCTTGTCAAATATTATTTACTGTCATCATGACAAAGATAAAGCAAATCAGTTATTAGAGATGAGTTATTAAAACTATTATGTTTAGAAATGTGTTGAAAAAAAATCTGCTCTCCGTTAAACAGAAATTAGGGAAAAAAATAATTGGGGCCTAACAATTTAGGGGGCTAATAATACTGGCTTCAACTGTATATAAAATATTTAATATATTAACAGCAAATTCATAAAATATACTGCAAATGAGAAACAAATGACATAAAAAAGGAAAAAAGTATAATAAGTACAAGAATATAAAGTGTAGATTTAAATAAGGCAAATTAGTTGATTAACCATTACTAATGGTGTACAAATGTTTTGCAGCCAGTTTAAATGTCATTTTGTCCTCTCCAAGTATAGTTTTCTGAGTCATTTAGATGGAGTAAATTATTTTTATGTTTCTCTTGTGGCTGTGCGTGTACTGTCAGCTGCAAAGCCAAGCAAAAGTAGGCTTAAATAAAAAGATAATGCAAAAATGCACACATTTAACGACATCGAAAGCAAAAGCCGAATCCCGGACATATTAGGAGATTTAGAAACCCAGATCAGATGCATTTTTAAGTCCCTAAAAGGCACGTCTCTGTGGGACTCTGCAGAGCATATGAGATTGTCTTTGGGAGCGTTAGCAGTTCTCATGCGCTCAGAACCAAAAGTAGAAAATGGGTAAGCAAGAGAGGATTATCCACTGGTTAACCGATCATTGACGTTTGGTTAATGGACGGAAAAAATGTCACCTTAGATATATTTGGTCGGCCTTTAATATATGTGGGCGGCCCGCCCATGTAAAGTCTATGTGTGGTAAGCACTGATAAATATAATAGCTATAGAAACTAGGACGAAATATAAACTATTTAAAACTTTAGATATGAAGATATAGCTGTAGAAAATATAACAAAATACAAATATACAAACACAGTCAGAAAACATCGAAATGTCTCTAATAAAGTACCTAGTGCATAGAGAGGTTTGTCAAGCCCACTCACCTGCATGGAGAACACTACACTCAGAACTACACAATATATGACCAGGGTGTGTGTAAATGAACACAAAAGAAGTTATTTGGAAAAAAGTTGAAAATCTGTAACCATTGACTTCCACAATAGGAAAGACAAATGCTGTGGAAGTCAGTTGTTGCAGGTTTCCAGCTTATTTAAAAATACCTTAGTGTTCAACAGAAGAAAGAAGTCAAATGATGTCTGAATTATCACTTTTGGGTGAACTTTCCCTTTAAGTGTGTTACATATTAATCATTATAATACTGATAAGCTGCTTAAAATAAATTTAAAATAAAAATATCTGTAAAGTTATAAAGGTCACTGTCCTTTATGAACAGTTAACACACTCATGCTTAATTAAACAATTTTCTCACTGAATAGTAATATACAATTGTACATTTAAAAGAAGAAAAGGTTGGGGAAATGTTAATTATCTTTTGTTTCATTTGCTTTTATGTATAATTATAACTAGGCTGTAATGGAATTTGCACGTGCAGATGTTTTAGCCCAACATTGAGTCTATTCATTTACTTATGCAAATGTGTGTAAAAATATATTTGATCATTGCATGACAGGCAAATCACTTGGCAGTAAAACTCTTTCCGATTCTAATTCTGAAATGTTTATATAATTTATTTACAATTCTGTTTGTAAAGTAATATTAATAGACATATTATATAGAAAAAAAGCATGCTTTGTTGACCAAACAATAATTAGATTTGCATTGTAAATCTTGAATACAAGTTAAAAAGCGATTCTATTTTTATTTGATGTGTTAAGATTTTAGTTACTATCAAAATCCTTCTGCATTAATTCTCAGATTTATTTTTTTATTATTATTTTTTTTTTACAAAATTTTGCATAGAAATAGCAATAAAACATCCATAGATGTCTGTCTGTATGTCTAATATGTATGCTTCATTTTATAGAAAAAATTAAAAATTGACGATGAAATCGAGTTTTGCTCAGAGAATCTGCTGCATCTCCTTCTCCGCTGTAAAGTGAGTATGTCAAACATATCTTAGGATTTTGAATAATATTTTGAGACATGTTCAGTTTTTTAAATTTTATTTTGGATGGACAGTAAAGCCTTTTTATTTGGATTTCTTTTCAGACTGTGTTTGATGACTTGGAAGGTGAGGAGATGAGGCGAGCGCGCACTCGATCAAACCCGTATGAAACCATCCGAGGGGCTTTTTTTCTTAACAGGTGTGTGTGTGTGTTTGTGTTTAGCGTGTCCACCGCCACGCACTGTTTAATTCTAATTCTCTGATTCTCGATTTGATTCAGTGTTTATAGATTCAATGAAAATGCTTCTGATATTTCCAAAAGCATCAGCAAACGCTTTATTTTGGTTGTATGAGTACATTAAAACACATCGCTGTTTTCAGATGCATAGGAAAAATGTAAATAATATGAAATACTGCAGACAAAAACAGCAATGAGACCCTTATATCAGGGTTCCCACATGTCATGGAATATCGTGAAATGTTAAAAGGCAAAAAGTCAGGGAATTGAATAATATTTTTAAACTAATCATGTTATTAAGGATTTTTTTTGTTTGGCACTTTAAATGTTAGTTTCAGTTTTATCAAAATGTAACATTTGTCTTTATTCTGTAACACTTTACAATAAGGTTGTATGAGTTCATGTATTTACTAACAGGAACAAACAAACAATAAATTTACTACAGTATTTATTCAGCTTTGTTAACTTTAGTTAATGAAAACAATGTTGTTTAATGTTGTCTCAGGTTAACCCACAGTGCATTAACTAATGAATTTGTATTTTAATAATGCATTAGTAAATGTTGAACTATAGTTATTTATTGAATGCTGTACAAGTTCATTATTAGTTCCTATTGGTAAGTACATTCATTAATGAAACTGTTTTTAAAGTGTTTCACACTATTTGCCTATTGTTATAACTAGGTTATCTTTTTTCTTCTGGAAGTCACGTAAGTCAAATGCAGTTACCAAATTCAGTTAATTAAGGGCTTACTCAAACTATGATATCCGAACTGTGCCCAGATGCATTTTCTGGTTCGTTTGGCTAGTGTGAGTGCTCCGAATCGGGCTCAGGCACGGTTCAGTTGGATGCAATGTGAGTGCAGGGCGTCAGGGGAGAGGGGAGAGTTCATGACAACCGTGCCTAGTGAGAGTTTCATATGGCTATGAAAAACATGTTAGGAAAATTTCTTAAGCCACAAAATAACCAGTTCAAAAGACTGGGTGTTATTGGTGCTTTGGTTTCTTTTACTTTCTCTTTAAAATCTGAGGATTAATTATCTGTTGTTGCTCTCAAAATTACTATTAAATTAATAAAAAAAATTATATTCAACCTCAAACAAGTTTAATATTATGCAAAGCACAACAGCGTCCTGTTTTTGATATAGTAGGCTACGGAATCTCATCTTTTTAATCAATGAAAGTCAGGAAATTTGACATTATATTTATATAGAGAGAAATACACAGATTCTAAACAGATCAGTTAAGTTCTACATATCTTACTAAAGCTGTGAGACATGTTCAGGGGAGGTTTTTTTATAGCGCTTTTCACACAAAATGCTCTTTCAAAGTGCTTTAGATAAACAAGATTAAAAGAATCACACTTTAGGCAAGGCAAGTTTATTTTAATAGCACATTTCACATACAGTGGCAATTCAAAGTGCTTTACATAAACAGTAATGAATTAAACAGTAAAAGTATAAATAAAATAAAAAACAAATAATATAAAAACGGCGTAAAGACAGTTTATCCATATTCCAAAACACCAGTGTATAAATGAATTTTTTTTCATTTTACTCTGGGACTTCCCGATTCTGGTGATCACCCCTCCTCTGTAGACTTTTTTGGAACCTATTAATATATTGGACGTCTCCAACAGATTTGATTTTTCACTTCAAATAAAAAAGTTAAGCTTTATAGCTCTAATTACGTGCCCCCAATTTCAGCTTGCTTCTGGAAGTGAATCGCACGGCCCCTGATTTCTACCCCCTCCAGGGAGTAGGTTGCTTTAGCTAACCAAACGTAATGAAATGTGTTGATCATACATCTTTAAACACAAGAGATTAAATGAAGGAATCAAAATGAATAAAACCAGATTAAAAGCAAGTTTAAAACAATAATAGTGCGTTTCAGCCAAGAGCCGTGAATGTTCTGATTAAAAGTAGCAGTAGGAACGGTGTATTATCACACTTCTGTTTGCTTGACCCTAAAGGCTGATTTATACTTCTTCATCAAGCGCATGCATATGGTCCGACGCAGACTTTCGTGCGGTCGCATACCCGTCGTCATGGCTGACGCTAAAAATGTAACTACACGTTCCAACGACCCACCTCTGAAAGAGCAAGTTTTAGCTGCTTATAGATTAAGGTAGCATTCAGAAAAAACTAAACCAGAAGAAACTTGACAAAGAGGAACATAAAAACCTACTGCCAGCTAGCATTTCGGTGGTGTTATTTTAGAGCAACACACACCACGCAGAAGTATAAATGCACGACTACGCTCAGGGCAGGCACCGTGGGTAACACCGATCACTTGACACAGAGGCATAAATCAGCCTTAACACCCATAATGCACAATACAAGTGTGTGTCATCTTCTTCCTCCTCAGAGCTGCTATGAAGATGGCGAACATGGATCATGTTTTTGACTATATGTTCACCAACCCAAAAGACTCTCAAGGGGTGAGATGGCAGTTAATGACATCAGAGGAATTATATGGTGTGAATATGTTTATGAATTATATGTGTAATATATATATATATATGTGTGTGTGTGTGTGTGTGTGTGTGTGTGTAGAAAGTCCTGACGCGTGATAAAGAGGGTGAATTGCTGTATTTCGGAGACGTTTGCGCAGGACCGGGAGGATTCTCGGAGTATGTGTTGTGGCGACGGCGCTGGCATGCTAAAGGTTTTGGGATGACACTTAAAGGAGCAAATGATTTCAAGCTGGAAGATTTCTATGCTGCACCTAGTGAGCTCTTTGAGGCCTATTACGGTATGGATGCACATATAGCATGTTTTAGTAATTTAAACATGAATTAAACAAGATTTCTTTGAGTATACACAGCTGGCTAAATTTTATTACATTTTTTCATGCTCACAAGGGTTGCATTTTTTCCCTAAATATATTGAAATATTCATATTGTTGAAATACAATGTAAATGACTGTTTTCTGTTTGTGTAATTTAATTTAATTACACAATTAATTTTGTGTAATGTAATTTAAAGGGAGCATATTATGCAAAAAGCACTTTTATAAAGGGTTTAAACACAGTTGTGTGGCAACAGTCTGTGAAAATATCCAGCTTCTAATGGTCAATATCTATTAATAATTTTTTTACAATCACATTTGATCAAAACTTTCTGCAGAAACATTTTGATTGGCATTCTCCCTTTGTACATGTCATCTGAGGGAGAAAGCCCCGCCCATTAGTTATGATCTCTCCCTCATTAGCATAAACAGCCCTAAGTGAGAAGCAGCCGTCTGCTAGTTTTGAATCTGTTGTTAAAGTGTCACACAGTCTCTTTTGAAATGAACGCTGGGAGCCATTTGAATTTAAAGCGACAGTCACCAAAACGGCACAGTTAGGATTAGGGAAAGTGATTTAATGTACAAAAAGTGAAACTAGAATAATGCCCAAATATATGTACAAAAAGAGAAATATTCACAATAATAGGAATAATATAATACGGTAGTAAATTCAAACAAAGTATCAAACAAAAATTTGGTTACCTCAAGAGTAAGGGGATGATAGTGAAGCCAAACAAAAGAAAGAAATATAACAAAACAATTCTAACTCATGAATTACCCCTTACCTCGCTAAAACATATAAAAAGAAAAGTCTTCAGCGCCGTGCGCCGTATTCTTCCCTATACTGAACTGTAGAATAAAAATAAATACAAAGATGGCATTCACCTCTTACCTGATGTCTTTAACAATACATTTTCTACGTGTTTGTAAAATGGAAGTCGTACGACATCTTCCCTATCCACCTTACTCTGAGAAAAAAAGCGAACTTGAAGTATAAATCTCAATATTGTCTGGAAAGAGCTGGGCCAAAATCAATCGAAATAAAGATGTACAAAAATCACAAAGTATCTCAAAATGGGCAAAAGTTACGCAAAATAATTTTACCCAAACCAAAGTTAAGCAAAAACAACGAAAAACTAAATCATGTCTGCAAAATACACAAAAAACAAGATCAATGGGAAAAGCGCTCCCCTCCACTCTTCCTGGAGTCCTTTTATTATGACTGCGCCACGTCGCCCCCCTGTTCTTAGACTGGCCTCCTGACCAATCAGCTGTTGCGAAGGCGAGCCTAAAAGAAATGACAGGCTTGGAGAAAGCGAGAGGGAGAGAGTGAACGGGAGGCAAAGATACAACAAATCAACAGCTACAACCCTAACGGGTCCTAAAAGGGTCAGTTTCAAAGTGTTATAAAACATTATTTGTGTTATTTTGAGATAAAACTTCAAATACACACTCAAGGGACATCAGACTTATTTTACATTTTGTTAAAAGGGGCATAATAGGTATTGAATAACAAATGTAACTTATTTTTGTAATGAAATCTGAATTTTTAGTCAAAATTCTTAAGATATTCTGGTTCGCTTACTCAGTAGTTCCAAAAGTGGGGGTCACGGTACAATGTTGGGCGGTCGCTTGGTGATTTCCAAAAATATCATATATGTTATTAAACTATTAGAATTACCATATTTTATTTAATACCTACAGAAGATAAAAATAAGTATTTATCAGTTTCATAAAATAACAACATGCAAATAAAAAGCCATCAGCCTTTCAATCCTTTTTTATTTTTCCATTGTATTCCGACCGCTGGGGTTATTACTCTCAATTAACAACACAGCAATAGTGTTAGTTTTCCCAGTGCTGGGTTGCAGCTGGAAGGGCATCCACTGTGTAAAACATATGCTGGATAAGTTGGTGGTTCATTCTGTTGTGGCGACCCCTGATAAATAAAGGGACTGGAAAATGAATGAATGAAGCTGAAGGAAAATGAATGAATGAATGTACAGTGTTAGTTGCAGCAGATTGGTTTTACAGCACCCACGTACATTAAAAATAAAGGCCACGACTGAACGTAGAGGATGATGTCTAAAGTTATGCCAAGAATAGTCTTGTGCTGAAAACATTGTCCAGCTTTCTCATTAAGTGAGGTTAATATTCATTAAAACAAATGAATAATGACCATAAAAATATATACAGTTGTTGCACTTTTCTTGTGCTGTCAGTAAGCTCGTTTACATAGTTCCTATAGGTGTGTGCACTGTTGGGTGTAATGGTTGTATGTTTATAACCACTTATAAGCATAGTGGGGGTCGCAAGTCACTGGAATCATTATTTTGGGGGTCACAAGCTGGAAAGTTTGGGAACCCCTGAGCTAATTAATGGCACTCAAAAACCTCTTATTATTATTATTATTATTATTATTATTATCATCAGAAAATGAATTGCATTTATTACCGATGCATTCAGTTGTTCAAAAGTAAAGAAATGTGTTACAAATTTGATGGTTTAAATATATATTGTTTCTTAAAGGTCAATATTAATCAAAGAATCCTAAAAAAGGATATAATTCAATATAAAAATGATTAAACTTGCTTTCTACAATGATCATAAGAAACATCATTATCTAAATATAGATTATATAGTTTATTATGCATATTAGAAAGTTTTCTTTTTTGTCTTTTTGGATTTTGTGACACCTTAGAACTAATAAACTAATGCAAAAATCAGTCTTCGTATCACAAAAATGAACTGCTTTTTAAAATCCTTAAGAACAGACAATTACAGTTATATCAACAAATTTCTTTTATTTCATTGAAATTTAAAATATGTATTATATAAATGCAGCCTTGGTGAGCTTTTGAGACTTCTTTTGGTCTTAAATTCATAAAATATTCCTTATTATAATGTATTCAGTACATAATATGTTCCTTTTTTTGACTGTCTTATTGCGGGGTGTTTTAGGTGAGGGTGGGATCGATGGCGATGGTGACATCACACGGCCCGAGAACATCAGTGCGTTTCGTAATTTTGTCTTGGACAGCACTGAGGGCCGGGGCCTGCACTTCTTAATGGCGGATGGGGTGAGACATGCTGTTCTGTGATTGGTGCAAATGTAAATATTGCTTTGTGTGATTGGTGGTTGAATATTCTGATGGTGTGTTGCTCCTCAGGGCTTTTCTGTGGAGGGACAAGAAAACCTTCAGGAGATTCTGAGCAAGCAACTGCTCCTGTGTCAATTTCTTACCGCCCTGTCTGTCGTCAGACCAGGTGATGTGTGTGTGCTTTTGTTTTTGTGTGTACGTATATTTATATATATATATATTATTAATTATTATATATATTATTATTAATAAATTAAGTAGTTTTCAAATTCAATCACTCCCTTATAAGGTAATAAAATATCCTAATTGTTGTTTTAATGAAATGAATATTATTATATTTCAAAAAGCAGAGAATAATGTGTCCTAAGATTCCAGAAGCATTGACTGCATGATGAGGCCTATTAAAATGCAACCTGAATCAACTTTTTGAATCAAACTATTCCAGTCTTGTAAGACTTTTAGCCACATTTTAGCAACAGGAAAAGGCATACACACACAACTGTTTGACACTTTTGCCTGCACCTATCGAGTCAGTAAAGTACCACAGACACATGTCCTCTGAATGCGCACACAAACGGTGAACTACTAGAGACACACTCGTCGTCATCATCATCACCAAACACACATTAAAAAATTAAAAATTTAAAAAAAAATTTATATTCAATTTGTGGAAAGAAGTTCGATTTCTCATTATACAGGGGAGAAGCCAGTCAGTAGAGTTTCTAGCTAAATATTTAGCAGTGTTTGCATGTCCTTTATAGCATAGAATTGATAAAAGAAATAAAACCATTCCATTACAAGTTGATTAAAAAGCACCTAAATTGTTTTGCATTTTGTGATTATTTTTTTATTTTTATTTATTTATTTATTTACTTTTTTGTCCCAGTTGAATAAAAATCTATTTTACAATAATATTTAAAATTATATATTAACATTATTTTCCATTCATATACAGTATCAGCAAAATAATTAGCAGTGTTTGTATGTACTTTACTGCATAGAATTCATAAAAAATAGAAGTAAAATACTTTTTAAAAAAGTTATTTTTAAAAAAAGTACCTAAATAGTTTTGCATTTTGTGATTTTTTTTTGTTTGTTTATTTATTTATTTATTTACTATTTTACAATAGTTTTACAATAATATTTAAAATTATATATAAACATTATTTTCCATTCATATATTAGCAAAATATTTAGCAGTGTTTGCATGTCCTTAACTGCATAGAATTTATTAAAATATAAGTAAAATAACTTTTAAAAAAAATTTATTTTAAAAAAAGCATCTAAATAGTTTTGCATTTTGTGTTTTTTTTTCAGTTGAGTAAAAGATTATTGTCCGTTCATATATTTCATCATTAAAGATCTCTTAAAAATTGGGTAAAAATCTCGTCTCGTTCTCATGAGCCCAATCTCATGTACACACAAGCAACAGGCAAGTGTGCCATTTTTTTGCCACAAAGTTTGTATTTTATTTTGTTTTCAGTATTTACACATTGCAATGCAGCTTTTTACAATCATGCAGAATTTGTAACAAGCACAACATTGCTGCATTTACTAAATATACAAATTATAAAGATGTACAGCGGGGAAAATAAGTATTAAACACATCACCATTTTTCTCAGAATACATATTTCAAAAGCTGCTGTTGACCTTGTGCTGTCGGTAACAGCCAAAATAATTCATATATGCAAAGAAAACAAATCTTATTAGTTTACAAATTAAGTTATGCTTAGTAAAATGAAATGACGCAGGAAAAAAAGTATTAAACACATGAAGAAAGGGAGGTGTAAAAAGGCAGTGAAAGCCCAGTCAGCAGCTGAAATCTCTAGTTCTTCAGCAACTTTCAGGAATTTGTCAGTGTAAATTAATATTAGCTGCTTCAGTCCAACATCTACATTAACAGGAAGATGAAGATGAAACCAGGGTGGACATTTTTAGAAAACATATGCTGGATAAGTTGGTGGTTCAGTCCGCTGTGGTGACCCCTGATGAATGAAGGGACTAAGCCGAAAGTAAAATGAATGAATGAATATTGTATGCATCTTATTTTGAGTCTTTGTCTCATTACATTCACAAAGCAACTCTTTGCAAATTGACCCTTTCTGCAAATTCAGTATTTGTAAGGTTTGATTTTGTCATTTTTTCCCTCCTGCTGTGTTGATAGATGTGAAACTGGACTTAATGGGTAATTCATTTTGGACTGTTACCATTAGAGATAATCAGTTTTGTTCTGCAGATGCTTGAATGGAGGTCTGTGTTTTTTGGGCACTCTTCTATGTTCTTTTTGTCTGTGATTTGGGCCATTTTCCTATTGGAAGATGAATTGTCTTTCTAGTTAAAGTGCTCTTGGGTGTGCTTTTTTTTTCGGCGCGGTCTATTTCTTTTCCTCTTTCATGAGTTTTGGTGTCCCTGACGTAGAAAAGCAACATTAAAGCCTGATCACGCTTCACTCTAGGGATGGTCTGCATCAACAGCACATCCTCCATCTTTGTCATGAAGCCCTGTGTCTTCTTTTTGGGTTACTGCTAGGTTTTGTGGTTTCCTCCAGTCCCAGACATTGGCTTTTTTGGAGGACAGCCAGTTCTTTAACAGCGCTTCCAAACAATCTCATCTCTTTAATGATGTCTTTGAGGATTATTTAATGCGTATTCTTGCTTTGATTATATTGTAAAGTCTTGTCTCAGATCTGTTTGGATTGTATCTTGGGATGCGCCCAGACAGGAGTCTATTCATTCTGAAATCATGTAATCAGGGAGATAATTACGTGATGAGAAAAGGGCTAATTTTAGGTGGAGCAAATCAACGGGAGGCTTATTTGAAAACTTTTCTAGAATGTATGTTTTATCCCTCCTGAATTAAATTTTTATTAAGCATTTGATTTTCTGTGAGCATTTATTACAGTTTCTCTTACTCTTTCAATCTGGTTTTATTACTCTACTTTGAATGCTAAAATATACAGTGGAGATCCTCGCCTGATTTTTCATTTTGACATGTTGAAGGGTAGTGATGGGTCGTTCTTGAACAATTTGCTCATTTTAAACTAATTCAATTCGTTTAATCTTTACTTCTATAGCGCTTTTACAATGTTGATTGTGTCAAAGCAGCTTAACATAGAAGATTATAGTAAATTGCAACTGTTCAGTCCAGTTTTCAGTGCTAAAGTTCAGTTTAGTTCTGTGCAGTGTGGTTTAATTTTTACTGCTAAGAGTCCAAACACTGAAGAGCAAATCCATCAATGCGCAGCTCCACAAGTCCCAAACCAAATAAGCCAGTGGCGAGGAACAAACTTCACCAATTGACAATAGTGAAGGGAAAAAAAAACCTTGAGAGAAACCAGACTCAGTTGGGCACGACCATTTCTCCTCTGGCCAAACTTCTTGTGCAGAGCTGCAGTAAAGTCGCTGGAGGCTGGACGTCCATCGTGGAGAAGGTGCAGGTGTAATTAGATCACCAGCAGGTGTTCAGGCTGGCCCATGAATCAATGCAGCGACTCGTCTGTTACTGTGGTCTTTTAGGAATCCGTCTCATGCTCTCCACTCCTTCATGACCGCCACAGCATCTGCTCACGGTACGGCCTGATCCAGGATTATGGAGACCTCGGGATAAAAAAGAAAATCTTCTATGTGACTCTAGAACGATGATTCCTTTCAGAAAGTGATTCATTCATTCACGCATGCGCACATTTGTGCAGGAGGAAGAGAAGATTAGTTCCCTTTTCGAGTCCTCTATTGGGGGTTTTGAGTCATTTTGTTTGTCAAGTGAATGACAGGAAAACCAATCATATGCAGCCAGAGTTGGAAAAAGATTTGATCCTTTCATCTCTCGCATCCTCATTTTGAGACGTTCTGTCATCATGTGAGTGACAGAAGCCAATCATATGCAGTCAGAGCCAGAAAAAGATTAGATCCTTTCATCTCTCGAGTCCTCGGTTTGCGTCATTCTTTCATCACGGAAAAGACAGAAGCCAATCATATGCATTTAGAGGTGGAAAAAGATTTGATTCATCCATTTCTTGACTTCTAGATTTTGAGTCATCTCTCTTTACATGCTGTCACGTGCTAAACTAACGACTCAAAAACCGGAAGACTAAAAAGATAAACTAATTATGGGTCTTTCCAGATCATACTGTGTGCATTGGTTAAACGTTTATCAGACTGTCTGTGTCACTTGAACAAACAATTTAAGATGTGTCAGAAGAAGTGAGCTGACCTAGTCATAGACAAAACACCAAGTAAACAATGAATGATATACCTAATTATTTTCTCTTTCTTATAACATTCTAGTTATGACTTGTTTTTAGTGTGATCAACATTTAGGGCTAGTTGTGGATAAGTTTTAAGCATCACATAATATTTCAATTTAATTTGTTCATCTTGATGAGCGAGACTCAAAGGTCAGAGTCATTACAATGATGTAACAAAGACAACAGTATAACAAAACCCAAAGCTAGTTTGCAATGAAATCTTCTAAGCTAATTTATTATAAGAAAAAAAAGAAAAGAAAAAGTCTTTTGCATTCACTCCCAATCTAAAGTGATAAAAATCAAAACTTACAAGTGCTCGTTTCCACTCTGTGTCTAGACAGTAGTGTTTCTCTGTGTTGCAGCATTTAGGTCATGTGATATTTTCACTGTCCTCATATTCCCTGGGGAATTCAGAAGCTCTTGATTGGGGAGCTTAGAATGAGATACAAACTGTGTTATAGCATACAAACAGAGATAAAAGGTAAGACAGATTTTGTAGGTAAAAATACAAAAAACACACACTCTATTGACCTTATTCTAAAATGCGGAAGTGCACCTGTTTTCGCGATTGTCTTAGAACTTCTGATTTAGTCGCCTATGGGAGAAATGACTAGGAATATTAAACGGCAGAAAATGGTCAAACTACTTGCTCTACAAACAAATGTTTGCATGACTATACAGACCAAGTAGAACAATATAATAAGAAAATATCAAATTGCAACATCAAGCAGCGTAATGAGCAGTTTTTAACGTCAAAAAATGAATGGAAGTGAATGAGACCGGAAGTCTCAAGCCAAAAAGATTCAAATGGCACTGCTCGCTCGTCGGCGGTGAATAAGGTGAATAACAGACAACAAAGGAAGAAGGAATGCAAGAGACTAAGCTTTCCTTGGCATCCTTTTAAAATTAGCGACAAACTTGATTGACAGCGAAGTGTTCATTTCAGTGTGAGAACAGTGCATCCGGAAAGTATTCATAGCGCTTCACTTTTTCCACTTTTTTTTGTTACAGCCTTATTTCAAAATTGATCAAATTTATTTATTTCCTCAAAATTCTCCACACAATACCCCAAATTGACAAAGTGAAAAAAGATTGGTGGAAATTGTTGCAAATTTATTAAAAAGAAAAAATCTTAAAAATCACATGTACAGAAGTATTCACAGCCTTTGCTCAATTCTTTGTTGATGCACCTTTGGCAGTAATTACAGCCTCAAGTCTTTTTAAATATGATGCCACAAGCTTACTACACTTGTCTTTGGGAATGTTTGCCCAGTCCTCTTTGCAGTACCTCTCAAGCTCTATCAGGTTGGATGGGAAGCGACGGTGTACAGCCATTTTTAGATCTCTCCAGAGATGTTCAATAGGATTTAGGTCTGGGCTCTGGCTGGGCCACTCAAGGACATTCACTGTGTTGTTGTGAAGCCACTCCATTGATATTTTGGGGGTGTTGTTTGGGTCATTGTCCTGCTGGAAGACGAACCGTCGCCCCAGTCTGAGGTCAAGAACACTCTGAAGCAGGTTTTCATTCAGGATGTCTCTGTGCATATTATATTATATCATATCTTGACTCTTTATATATTAGTTAAGGCCACATAATATAAAGTGAGGCCAAAAAAGAAACTATTGTAATATTCCTAATAATATTAGACTGTTCCCTAATTTCATCTCCGCTGTACCAACTGGATTTGCTTTTCACTGCAGCTCATTATTCAACTTCAAAAAAGTATATCAGGGCTATTAGGCGTATATGCAAATGACCATTATTAAATAGCATTGGTTGACTGAGATAAATGGACCAATTGAGTAGGCAAATGATTATTGTTATACTACTTTGCTGCCATAACTCAACACAAATGGTTTGTGTTTTACAGGAGGCCATTTTTTGTGCAAGACGTTTGACTTGTTCACTCCGTTCAGCGTGGGCTTGATTTATCTGCTGTACCTCTGCTTCGAGAGGGTCTCGCTCTTCAAACCCGTCACCAGTCGGCCTGCCAATTCAGAGAGGTGTGTGTTCGTTCTCCAGTACTTACTGTAGGTAGAGAGAGACCTTTCTTGACATCAAGACTTGTGTGCACTTGGCTCTCTCTGTTCAGCACTTCAATATATGCTTTTTTCTTTACTTCAATAGGCAGAAATTGGCTTTAACTTCAAGGCTAGTCATTGGTTTTTGATTTACCTCAAAAAGTCAAAAGTTAAAAATAAGAGTTGGAATAATTAAGTTAAAAAAAAAAAAAAAAGTTTTTGAAACCCTCATACTCACCAAGGCTGCACTTATACAGTAGTCAACATTCAAAGGGAATCCAAAATGTTTTTCAAAATTGTCCTAGGACAAGAATTGGGTGTTTCAATTCATTTCATCTTTATTTCTATAGCACTTTTACAATGTTGATTGCGTCAAAGTAGCTTAACATTGAAGTTCTAGTTAATCGAAACTGCTTCAGTTCAGTTTTCGGAGTTGAAGTTCAGTTTAGTTCAGTGTGGTTTAATTTTCAAAGTCCAAACACTGAAGAGCAAATCCATTGATGTGCAGCTCTACAAGTCCCAAACCATGCAAGCCAGTGGCGACAGTGGCGAGGAACAAACTTCACCAATTGACGAAAGTGAAGGAAAAAACCTTGAGAGAAACCAGGCTCACTTGTGCACGACCATTTCTCCTCTGGCCAAACTTCTTGTGCAAGTAGAGAGATATGGCCTGTCCCAGGGTTATGGAGACCTCTAAAAGTCCTCAATGGATGGCATCAACTTTTCACAGGACTAGGATCACACACAAGCGCTTCTAAATAGTTGGGGTTGTTCAATAGTTTTGGGGGTTGTTCAGTAGTTTATGGGGGTTGTTCAACAGTTTTAGGGCAAGTTTGATGAAAGTTGATGATCCACTTTAAATGTTGACTACTGTATGCAGTGAACACAGTAATATATTGTGAACATTTTTACAATGTAAAATTACTTTCTGTTTTAATATATAAAAAAAAGACAGCTGTATATTCTGGCATATTTTTCAGTGTCATATAATCCTTCAGAATTTGTTTATATATGTTAATATGGAACTCTGTTCTCAGTTATTAATAATGATGATGATAACAATGTTGAAAATATAAATTTTCATAAATAATGTTTTATATCTTAATATGTTTGTGAAAACTAAATTTTTTTTCACGCTGTCTTTATGAAAAAATATAAATTATTAATGATATAAATATAAAAAAAATTTCTCTTGATAAATTTCGTTTCCCTCCACTGGCTCCCTGTTAAGTTTAGAATTGATTTTAAACTTTTGATGTCAAAATGCTTTTTGATGGCCCTCAATGGCCTTGCTTCTATTTATTAATGCGAAATTTTGCACATGCACAAACCCAGCAGAGCTTTGCAATCTGTTGACCAACTTCTGCTTGAAGTCCCTCGGTTGCAGTGGCAGGTTCTAAACTCTGGAATACCCTTTCTACTGAGCTTCTTTAATCACTGACCTGCCACTATTTAAAGCCAAGCTTAAGACCCACTTGTTTAAATTGGCTTTTAATGCATAGCACTGACACTTTTTATGTTTTAATGTTTGTTTGGTTTTATTGGTATTTTTTTATTTTGTTTTGCATCGTCTCCTTTTCTGTTGTATTGTATAATTTGCTTTTACTTGTGTAAAGCACTTTGGTCAATCGTGGTTGCTGTAAAATGCTATATAAATAAAAGTTGATTGATTGATTGATTGATTGATTGATTGATTGATTGATTGATTGATTGAATTCACACAAAAAGCTGCAAAATTTGTTTTGAATATTAATTATAATAAAATACTGAAATGATTCTAGTTGGATCAAGTTACACTGAAGACTGGATGTAATAAATTGTAGTCTAAAATATATTAAAATCTAAAACATCTCATTTGTGATAACAATATTGACATCAGGACATTTAAAAAGTTTTAAAAATATTTTTTTGTGATTCTTAACTTATTATTTGATTGCAACAATGTGTTGCTTGGATTTTTAATATATAATTTAAGAATAAAATCATCTTATTATAATAATTTAGACATTTTTGTAACACTGTAAATGCTGGTTTCACACAAATCAACTAAGTTCACTTCATTGTTTTTTTTTTTTTTACAAATTTAAGTGTATTAAATATAACATAATTAAGTTGTGCCAAAAAAAAAGAAACTTAGGAATTGTTGTTTCAACTAATTTTAAATAGTAAAAAAAGTTTCTAAAAACATTTTAAATAGTTTGAACAAACAGCAAAAGCCGTGTTTGACTGAATTTTAAAGTTACTTCAATTTAGTTAACTTTCCTGTAATAAAATGGGAAAAGGAAGAAGGATTTTAATCTTAGAAAAAGTACTCCCCTCCATGATAGCAACTGATTTTTTTTATATGTATGTCCACGTGCAGGTACGTGGTGTGCAAGGGTTTAAAACCAGGCACGGATGCCGTCAGAGAATACATGTTCACCATCAACCTGAAGCTGAATCAGTTCAGACACTCAGACAGAGACGTTATTGAAGTCGTCCCTCTGGACATCATTAAAGGAGACACTGACTTCTTCCAATACATGATCGGCTCCAATGAAAGGTATCATCGTCACTTTCTGATCCTCTTTCTGTCTCTCCCTCCATGCATTCATTCATGCTTAGGTTTGTTTACTGAACTCTGATCTCCTGTCTTGCAGCTATTGTGCGGTTCAGATCAAAGCTCTGGCGAAGATCCACGCGTACGTCAGAGATACGTGAGTCACACATTTTTCCTCTGGTGTGTTTCAGAGCGTTCATTTCATACTCTTTCATTTGAATGCGCGCACGTGTGTGTGGGTCTATAAAGGCATTACTGATGAGGCTGTGTCATTCTAGGACGCTGTTTGAGGCCAGGCAAGCAGACATACGCAAAGAATGCTTGAAATTGTGGGGGGTGAGTCTTAAAATATTTATTTACATGCATGGTACTGACCAAACACTTCATAATAGAGCTGCATGATCCTGGAGAAATCGAGAATCTTTTGTATAGGTGCAGTATGTAGGATTGACACCAAGTGGTTGAAGTGGGTATTGCAATGCAAATTCAAAACACTGGAGTTTTTTTTTTTTTCGCCCGGCCATACTCCACGCAAACACAACAGGGCTCGAAATTGCGACAATTTTGGTCACATATGCGCCCGAAAATTAATCTATGCGACCTCATAACATATTTGGGAGCATTAGTGCGACTGCACTGGTTGTAGTGCCACCTGTTTTGATATTTTCTAAAAACGTGCTGAATCGCCTTTCCGTGCTGCTACATTGGTTCATATTAGCTGTCAATCACTCAAGGTATTCCTCTGTCAGATGACAGGGAAGGAGCTTTTATGACCACGGGAAATGCAAACGGCTGAAGAGTGAAAACTTAAAGCACACAGGTTTGCAAACCCCACCTAAAGTTGAGGCGCAGATGAGAGCAATCATGATATGTGGTGAATATTGATCCACCAGCTGAAATCAATCGAGTACGTGCTTTTCGGAGAAGGCGCCCGAATCTCGATGCGTTGCATTCACTGCGTGTTCAGCGCAAATGTCCGCTAAAAGTCAAATCTAATACTGTACATATCATCGCCAAAGAAGCTAGCTTTTACCAAGTTTACACTGAATCTTCGGCTTATAACAAACAGCAGTATTGCGCCGGTGGTCATCGCAAGAATCCTGCTCAACCTGCTCATAAATTGGGTCGGCTGACTCGCCAGCTTTTCCACTAACACAGAAAAATGAACATTTAAATTGACACAAACTGAAACCAAAACTTTTAAAGAGTGATAGAAGTGAGACTTTACTTACTTTTCTTTTGTCCATTCTTTCTTGAGGTGTATATTATTATTTTTTATTTAGTTACCGATGACTGTTTTGCAGCTTTCAGCCTTGAATTTACTTATTTATTATAATCTTTTGTTTGTTTTGTAGCATAAATATTATTTATTAAACTGTCATGCATATATAAACAGCAGTACATAATAAATATTTCTTACTGCAATGCTTCATTTTTGTTCGATGCAAACCATACATTTATTTTTCAGAAAGTAACAGACTTTTTATAGCAGAAAACTCACATTCAAGCACATTCAAGGCAGCATGATGCTGAGAAATGTAATTCATTGTTACTATTATTGTCATTTTCATCATCATTAATATTTTAGAATTATTCAACATTCATTTTGGAATTATTGCACACAAATATCAATGTCATCTCAACATTAGTTAGATAGTTCTTTCTGGTTTTTGTTAGTCCTAATTAATGTTGTTTCAAAATACAGTAAATCCCTTAAAATACAATTTGCAGCGGTGCTCATTCATTTTTGGTGTGTGCTCCTAAATTTTTGAAGTTGGGAGCACCGGTGCTACCAAGTAAAAAAGTTAATTTCGAGCCCTGCACAAGTTGCCAGATTGACAACACCAACAGAGGCAAGCGTGCCTGATTATTGAGCCTACACTGTGTTCTTTCTACATGTGATAAAAGTCATATTTTTGGTGTTAAAAGGAGTTTTTGTCTTAATTATTTGTGACAGCAGCACCTGAAATTTCTATTTTAGAAACTGTTTCTATGCTTAGTGTTTGACCGGCTGCGTTCAAGAATTATACTTATTACTAAGCCATACTTAAATGCTATTTCAGACAGACTATTCAAAGTAGCATGGTAAACAATATAGGGAGTGCATCACATGTTGTCATTGTTCAAAAAAGAAACCAATGTAAATATAAATACCTCAGGCAAGACGTAATAGTGCTGTTTACTGATGTTTTGTCATTAAACGAAATCAAAATCTACATTATTGATGCTGTAAAAGGTTCTTTATGAAACTGAAAATAGTCAATCAATCTTTCACCGGAAGATTTCTGTGGCTGAACACTTCAGCACATATAACCCATTCATAAAACAACAAAAAAGATTGTTAAAAATAATCAATATACTCTTTATTTGAAGAGTCATGTTGATTTCAATAGTTTAGGTTTTACTTTATAGATTTACTGATGTATTATAGAAGCCGATGTTTACATTTCAATTAAACCTCGAATAAATACAATTGTGTAGGTGTTTAAATCAAGAGTTCAATCTTTTAAGTGTTAATCATCCGGCTTGACATTTTTTATAGTGGAGTGAGGTTTGGTTTTGTGCCTGAAAGCATTCAGAGAAGATTGTTTTGCGTAGGTACAGTATCTGTAAGGACATACTGCTGATGTCGATGTGAATGACTGAGACCTTGAGCGTCTTCCTCTTTGTGCAGATCCCTGATAAAGCAAGAGTCACTCCGTCAACGTCAGACCCCAAAAACAAGTTTTATGAGCTTGTGAAGGTAAGAGATTGTGTGTGTGTGTGTGTGTGTGTGTGTGTGTGTGTGTGTGTGTGTGTGTGTGTGTGCGTGCATGCGTGCGTGCGTGCGTGCGTGCGTGCGTGTGTGTGTGTGTGTGTGTGTGTGTGTGTTTATGTATAGACCTTGAGAAGTTTACTAGGAGTGTGGAAACGCTTGTGGGCATGATGTTTCAGAAAAGAAGTGGCTAAATCCCACAAAACAAGTCTTTGTTGTATTGATTAATTTCAATGTCAAATTACAATATTACCGTACTGTAATCAGCTTGAAATAAATAATGCCCAAAATTGGGTAGATTGTTAATTAATTAGACTAGATTACTGGGGGTAATTGCTTATATTGTGATTCAAATGAGCAAATAAATAAGTTGTATTTGTATATTAATTATAATAATCATTTATTAATTAATAGCATTAATAATAAACATTAAAAACATTAATAATAAGTTCATTCATTTATTTTCCTTTGGCTTGGTCCCTTTATTCATAAGGGGTCGCCACAGTGGAATGAACCACCAACTTGTCTAGCATATGTTTTATGCAGTGGATGCCCATCCAGCTGCAACCCAGTACTGGGAAACACCCATACATTCTCATTCACACATATACATTATGGCCAATTTAGTTTCTTTAATTCACCTATAGCACATGTCCTTGGACTGTGGGGGGAAACCCGAGCACCTGGAGGAAACCTTCGCCAAAGTAGGAAGAACAAACTCAAACAAAATAGAAAACTAACCTACAACTATTAATAAGAATAAGTTAATGTTTAATAATTCAATTTTGTTGTTGTTGCTGTCAAAAATGGCAAAAGTATATCTTTATAAACTTGATTATTATTGTTGAGAGTGTTAAATGAGATGGGATCAAACCTGGAGGCCGTATTATTGAGTTTCCTTATCAGGAATAAGACGATTAAGCTTTTCAACATAAACACGTATTTAAGCAGTTTCCTTGAAGACGATTTGAAGTGTTTATAAACAACACAGTGTATATTACAGATTACAGAGTCTATTTACAGTGTTTCTGGATTACATCTTTGAGCATCATTGATAGAAACAAACAGCAAAACATCAGAGGTGGTTATTACCAGACCAATCTGTTTCCTTAAATAGCTGCCAGGAGAGTCTTAGAGATTTGGAGCAAGCGTCTCATGCCACCGGGTTCAGGATTCAATTACTCAGCATTAATCTGGACAGACATTCTGATTCAAAAAAGGCTTTAAACTACTTGTAGAATATTATCAAAATTGAGCAAATATTTACCTTTTCTATGTTGTTTTTCTTGATTTCATTATTTAGAAGTAATACTGAAAGATTTTTTTCTTTTTTAACTGCATTATGGGACCACGATCTTTGCTTTGACACATTTTGAATATGAAAGTTTAACCCTGCAGTCTAACAAAATGATTTTTTTTTTACCTATTTATGAGTGGTAAACAATATATTGTTTGGGTTGTTAACTTAAATGATTAAAAGAAGAAGTTAATGCTGTTTGTTTTTGTCTTATCCCAGGGTTCAGAAATGGACAGTTTTAACTCCAGACCTACTGCACTGAACTCTGTAAATCTGGAGAAACTACAGCACGTGCTGGACTACAGGTGCATTGTGGGAGGTGGAGAACAGCTTTTTCTCCTGGCACTTGGGGTAAGGAATATATCTTTATCTTCATTTTGCAGTCAAATTATCTTACCTGTTGCAAAAAGAGTGTATGCTTAAGCATTTTGTACATGCAGAGATCTCAGATTTACACGTGGGACGGTAAAGCCCCTTCACGGTGGAAGAAACTGGAGAACTTCAAAATGGAGCTTCCCAGAGACACATTGCTGAGCGTAGAGATCGTCCAGGAGCTGAAGGGAGAGGTGAACCACTCTAAATACTATTAAAAGATAAGATTGTTAAGAGATTCATACGATTACTGTAAGGGAAGAAGCTTTTATCCCCATTATATTTTAGTGTTATATTGAGTTGTTGTGTATACAGTGCATCCTGAAAGTATTCATAGTGCTTCACTTTTTCCACAGTTTTTTTTATCTTACAGCATTAATCCAAAATAGATTTATTTTATGATAAATTCTACACACAATACCCCATAATGACAATGTGAACATTTTTTTATTTTTTATTAAAAATAGAAAAACCTGAAAAATCACATGCACATAAGTATTCACAGCCTTTGCCTTGAAGCTCTAAATGGAGCTCAGGTACATTCTGTTTGCACTGATCATTCTTGAGATGTTTCAGCAGCTTAATTGGAGTTCACCTGTGGTAAATTCAGTTGATTGGACATGGGTTGACTGTGCATGTCAAAGCACAAACAAAGCATGAAGACAAAGGAATTGTCTCTAGACCTCAGAGACAAGGCTTGGGAAGTTTACAGAAAAAAAAATTCTGCTGCCCTGAAAATTCCAATGGGCACAGTGGCATCCATCATCTGTAAGTGGAAGATGTTTGGAACCACCAGAACTCTTCCTAGAGTTGGCCGGCCATTTAAGCTAAGTGATCAGGGGAGAAAGGCCTTAGTCAGGGAGGTGATCAATAACCTGATGGTCACTCTGTCTGAGCTCCAACGTTCTTCTGTGGAGAGAGGAGAACCTTACAGAAAGACTGTGCAGCAATCCACCAATCAGGCCTGTATGGTACAGTGGCTAACCTGAAGCCACTCCCCGCCTGGAATTTGCCAAAAGGCATCTGAAGCACTCTCAGACCATAAGAAATAAAATTCTCTGGTCTGATGAGACTAAAATTGAACTTTGGAGTGAATGCCAGGCGTTACGCTTAGACAAAACCAGGCACTGCTCATCACCAGACTAATACCATCCTTACAGTGAAGCATGGGGGTGGCAGCATCATGATGTGGGGATGTTTTTCAGCAGCAGGAACTGGAAGACTAGTCTGGATAGAGGGAAAGATGAATGCAGCAATGCACAGAGACATCCTGAATGAAAACCTGCTTCAGAGTGCTCTTGACCTCAGACAGGGGCGATCGTTCATCTTCCAGCAGGACGATGACCCAAAGCACACCTCCAAAATATTAATGGAGTGGCTTCACTACAACTCTGAATGTCCTTGAGTGGCCTAGCCAGAGTCAAGACCTAAATCCTATTAAACATCTCTGGAGTGATCTGAAAATGGCTGTACATCGTCGCTTCCCATCCAAGCTGATAGACCTTGAGAGGTACTGCAAAGTGGAATGGGCAAAAATTCCCAAAAACAGGTGTGCCAAGCTTGTGGCATCATATTCAAAAAGACTTGAGGCTGTAATTGCTGCCAAAGGTGCATCAACAAAGTATTGAGCAAAGGCTGTGAATACTTCTGTACATGTGATTTTTCAGCTTTTTGATTTTTAATTAATTTGTTACAATTTAAAAAATTCTTTTGTCACATTGTCATTATGGGGTATTGTGTGGAGAATTTTGAGGAAATAAATTAATTTAATCCATTTGGAATAAGACTGTAACATAATAAAAGTGGAAAAAGTGAAGCGCTATGAATACTTTCTGATTCAAGTATTGGCATAGAAAAACCCATTGTATGGTTTAGTGTTTTTGAACAAATATCTTGAACAAGTAATTCAATGATGCAAATCATAAATGCTTATATTATACTTTGTAATAAGTAGTTTTATCATAAAAATCTGCATCTTGAACAAATGATTCAATGACTCATTCATAAAGACTTCAATTGTTTTCTTATTGGAAGAATCTGCATTTTTTTAACAGATCTCTTGAATAAATAGTTCAATTAGTTTAATTTCCTGATTGTACTTGCAGGGAAAAGCCCAGCGAAGGATCAACGCTGTGCATGTTCTCGATGCTCTTGTTCTCAACGGCACTGACGTCAGAGATCAGCACTTCAACCAGAGGTCTTTTTTCACTAACTACTGCTTTACATTTATGTGGTTAGCAGATGCCTTTTTGAATCTTAACAAATTTTGAAACCATTGGCAACCACAGAGTTTTACCTCATTTTTAACATTGTATACTTTCTGATTTTAGTTAGGCTGCACGTATTTACAGTCCCTAAGAAATCAAAACTAACCATATGGTTTTGTTAGCTCTCATCATTGGTTCTGTGGTGAACAATTCATCTGTGAATGTCAAGAAAAAAATGCCCTTCTAATCTTTAGTTGAATTTTGAAAATGCACTTCCTGTTGGTTTCTCAGTAAAGTTGTAACAATGTATATCTTAAAAATTGGGCGTGGCTAGCATACTTAACCACGCCCCTCCAACTCAGTTTTGACAACAAACAGAAATAGTAACGAGGAGGTCTCTGTTAGGTTGTAATAACTCTCCCCAAACCCTTTTCCCCATCTTTCTGAATTATATTTCTTTTAAACTATATTCCTTTTCTATTGAACAAGACTTCTTTATATATATATATATATATATATATATATATATAAATAATACCGTAACGTTAAGCGCCACCTGCTGGATTAGTATTTTTATTCAGCTTATAAAAAATGTTTTAGTTTGGATTAGTTTCTTGCAATCAGTATTTACTAAATATACTGTAAGTAAAAATGTTGTCGATGTGACCGGTTGCAACCTGAAGTGGCGATGAGGTTTAAAATATATGGAAAGAATCTTTAAGGGTATTGAATTTTTTCTGTATATAGCCTGTTCTCTGATGATGTCATTGTACAAAATATGCTTTGTCACGCCCCTAAAACAATTAATTTGCTAAGATAGTTGTATATACATCATCCTGAAATAAAAGTCTGCAGCAACTTCTCGTTCACAGTGACAATAAATGTGCCCGCAGGAAGAGTCCTTAAATTAATTTTAATGCTACTAGTGTGTTTGTTGTTGTTGCAGAATCCAGATGGTGGAGAAGTTTGTGAAAGCCGTGTCCAAACCCAGCAGGCCCGACATGAACCCGATCCGGTAAAATTTTTTTCTCTCCGTGGTCATTTTTAATTGGCATGTCAGTGCAAATGATCTGTGAACACCGTAGGGAGCTGTATGTAAAATGGATGAAGATACAGTGTTTTACTAGAGCCTAGACAGGAGCTTTCATGTTTCGGGTGATATTATATATCAATGCGCTTGTTGTTTCTGCTTCATCCATTCACAGTCTTTCTCTTTCATTTATTAGAGTGAAGGAAGTCTATAGGTTGGAGGAGATGGAGAAAATCTTTGTGAGGTGCGTTCAATTATGTCAACCACATGCATACATGCAGATTTTTTTGTTATTTTTTTGTTTGATTTATTTTGAATATAATTTTAAATGAAGTAAAACATGTTTTACTAATTAATTTTTTATAATGCATTTTATTTGAAAAAATTAAGCAATATAAAATATGTATTTGTACGTTTTTTTCCCGTATTTTAAATATTTCAAGTGAAATTTTAAACATAATAAAATTAAGATATGCATTCATTAAATTTATATTAAAATGAAATCGAATATTGTAAACGTGGAATATTTATTTTTAAATATAAACTAAACTGAATAAAACAAAATGTTATTTTATGTTATCATTCTTCAAGTAACTCAGTTTTCATGTTTAGCCTTTTAATTTTTCGTTCTGAAAATATTTTATTTTAAAAGTAACATATTTTAATTCTAAAACACAATAATTTTTTGTATTATTTTAATGTAAAAACTAAAATATTTAATTTATTAATTTTTCTCTATTTTGTTTTTATTGAAGATATTTTAAGTAAAATTAATTAAATGTTTTAAATTATATTTTCACATTTTAAATTAAAAAAAGAAAGTAAATTCTAAAATAAATTGTTTTAAAAGTTATTTACATTCTTTTTTTTCTCAATATCATATAACTTGTTTAATAAACGCTGTCTTTTTAAAACAAATGTAAAATAAAATCATGGCAAAATAATTCACTATTAAAATGACTTTTAATTAAAATATATACAAAAAATATTTTTACGAAATTCTGAGAATACTTTTTAAATGAAATCAAAATATAACGTGTATGATATAGATTTTTAAATTATTTACTTTTCATTGTCACTCATGATTTTTAAACAACAAGAAATATGAAATAAAACCAATTCAATTTACTTTTATTTGTGTAGCGCTTTTACAATGTAGATTGTGTCAAATTCAGCTTCACATCATTACAAATCATGTCAAAACAAATCTATTATAAAATGATTTTTGATTAAATTTCAAAGGAACAAAATAATGCATAATTTAAATAAAAGCGAGACTATTTTTTATTATATTAGTGTAAAAGCTAAAATATGTTATTTCTATTTTGTTATTTATTATATTTTGAGTTAAATTAAAGCATAAAGCATTCTATTTAATATTTTACATTTTAAATGAAATAAAAATCATTTACATTGCTTATAAATTTTTTCTCTATTTTGTTTTTATTGATTATATTTTAAGTTAAACTAATTAAATGTTTTAATTTATATTTATACATTTTAAATTTAAAAAAAGAAATAAATTATAAAATAAATTGTTTTAAAAGTTATTTACATTCTTTTTTTCTCAATGTCAGATAATTTGTTTAATACACTCTGTCATTTTAAAACAAAAATGAAATAAAATAATGGCAAAATTAGGTAATACAATTATTTGTAATTATTATCTTGCTTTTATTATATTCTTTGTTTTTATTTGAAATGAATGAAAATACCATATAACATACAATAAATATATTTGTTATTTCTTTAATTTATCATAAATAATTTATATTTACATGCAAAATGTTATTTATATTAATTAACATGAAATGAAAGAAAAACTATTTATATTTTTAAAAGTGCGCTCTTTTTTTTGTTTTCTTTTCTCTCAGGTTGGAAATGAAGATAACCAAAAGTTCAGGAGGGATGCCGAGACTATCGTACACAGGCAGAGATGATCGTCACTTCCTCCCGACCGGCCTTTACATCATCAAAACAGTGAATGGTGAGGGCAAACAGCTTCATATCAATGCAGTGCCATGCTAAATTTGAATTTGCATCGATAATAATGATTATTATTTGTCTTTTTTTGACAGACCCATGGACAATGGCTTTCAGCAAAAGTTCTAAAAGAAAGTTTTTCTACAACAAGCAGACCAAAGAATCCACTTACGATCTGCCAGCCACTTCTGTGGCACCTTTCCAGTAAGTATTAAAGTAATCCGGCATGACTGTCACTACATTTTGGATTGAAGCCCTGAACATTAAATTACATTACAAACAAGATATTGCACAACTATTTCTGGCCTTGGCCTTCAGAATAAAAAGCTTTTTTTTTTAAATCCACAACATCCTCTTTTTTCATATATTTATTATAAATTGAGTTTTTATTTGAGATTCTGTTTGGTTATTGCTGAGTAGTTTTGTTTAAAGACTTTTCTGGGCTTAAAATGATTGACTAAAATGGAGAATCATTTTGAACTCTGTTCTAAAAAAAGCAAGGCCTTTCAAATGACATGCACAGCTTATTCACAGGTTTGCGCTGACTGTGGGCTATATTGTGTGTGTTTTTGCACTCATATAAGTACTAAATGTATGATGTGTATAGTTTTTCTGTAATTAATAATATATCGAAGACCGTTAGGGTCTCTATGTGTTCATTTATGTTGCATTTATATATTTATTTTATATAATTGCAGACGTTACAGTAGGCTATTTTGCAATGTCATTGATCTGCAGTTATAATCATATCCTGTTCATACAAAAGTTAGTAATAAAAATTTATAAACAAGTATTTGTCTATAAAGCATCCGTTTTGTAAGAAGTGCTGCTCATGTTATATGTAAGCGACCCGTACAGCTTTACTGTAGACATTTATTCGAGCGAGCATGACGTCGACTGAAACTTTCTGTCATATACCACGCCCACCAAAAGGCTACCCTTGGTAGTGGAAACGCAAGCCTGATAAAGGTAACCCGTACCGACCTGAACCATACCGTACTGTACCAGTCAGTGGAAACGAGCCATAACATCATGTTTTGTTTATGGCTGTGTTTTTGTTCAATACTAATTTCCCTTACTGTATATATATATATATATATATATATATATATATATATATATATATATATATATATATATATATATAATTACATTCATATAAACCCTGCATTCTTTCTTTATTTTGACAATATTTTAGTGTTTTTCGGGCAATGCTTTGACAGTTTGTTCTCTCTGTTCTTCTGCTCCTCAGCGTGTGTCATCAAGACAGGCTGTTTTGGGCTTGGGAGGAAGGCGTCCGAGTTCACGACTCCCAGACGAGGATCAACCCTGACAAGCTCTCCAAAGATGATGTGGTTTCCTTCATCCATAAGCACTATCAACAATAACCACACACATGCACACACAAAGTAACAGACTGTTCATTCTCCTGTCCACCAGGAGGCACTGTAGCTTTCAAAACAGTCCAGCATTCTGCTCAGTTTCTACACACTTCAGGGCTTCAGAAATAGACAGCAGTGTGTATCTGCATGTGTCTGGCATTTCTAGAGGAGAAACTTAGATCACACTGCTTTTCGCTTGTTGGTGTGTTTTTCTCCTGAACTTCAACCCCCCTCCACCCCACGCCCCTGATTCCTCGTATGAATTTTTCCTCTGCTAAACCGTTCGATTTTTAGATCCATCCCGTCAGTGCGATAACCGCGTTTAACAAAAGCGCATGGCGGTTAGCATTGGCTCTACTGTGTTGCATGTGTCGCCTTGCGCTCTTCATTTTGGTTTGTATTTCTTTTTTCAGTGTTTACAAATATTAGACTGACTGTTCTGAGGGGAAAACATGTCGATTTTAAGACTATTCGTGATCATGGTTGTATTAAAATCATGGAGGAAGAATATTCCATGTTGGTCCCGCTTTGTTATTCTTCTCGAATGGTTTTACATTTTTGTTTGGTTTAATGGAAGATTGAAAATAGAAAAAGGACAGAGACAAATGTTTAGCAATATTTTCATTAGTATTTATATAATTCTGTTATTATATTACATTATATTAGGGGCGAAGCAGTGGCGCAGTAGGTAGTGCTGTCGCCTCACAGCTAATAGGTCGCTGGGTCGAGCTCAGTTGGCGTTTCTGTGTGGAGTTTGCATGTTCTCCCTGCGTTCGCGTGGGTTTTCTCCAGGTGCTCCGGTTTCCCGCACAGTCCAAAGACATGCGGTACAGGTGAATTGGGTAAGCTAAATTGGGTAAGGTAAATTGTCCATAGTGTATAAGTGTGTGTGTGTGTGTGAATGTGTGTGGATGTTTCCCAGAGATGGGTTGCAGCTGGAAGGGCATTCACTGCGTAAAAACTTGCTGTATAAGTTGGCAGTTCATTCCGCTGTGGCGACCCCGGATTAATAAAGGGACTAAGCCGACAAGAAAATGAATGAATGAATATTACATTAGATAAGATCAGATTAGATTAAACGCCCTTTACTGGATTAAATAATTTTTATGGAGACAAATTGTGTATAAATGTTTTTATTAGTATTTTTAAATATTATTATATTAAATTATATTGTATTATATCATATTATATTATATTATATTATAGGCCATTTCAATGTGGTCATGTCATTGGTCCATAGACATTTCCTGCTTGTAGGCAAACTGTTTCATAACTTTAGCATGAGGAAATTCAATCATAACTTAGTTAAAACAGCTGTCATAATATTATTTATCAATATGTGGCTCTTTTTGGATTCTCGGAAGCTATTGAAATTAAAAATGTAAAATAGGAAATGCGTTGAGACCATTGTTTTTTGTATACATCCCTCAAGATGTTCTATAATAAACGCCTTCTGCTGGATTAAATATTTTTCATGGAGACAAATTGTTAATAAATATTGTTATTAGTGTTTATGTAATTGAGTCTGATATTATGTTATGTTATATTATTGTTATATTAAATAGCTTTTACTGTATTGAATATTTTTCATTTTTTCATAAAATTAAAATATATTTTTATATTATATTATATTATATTATATTATATTATATTATATTATATTATATTATATTATATTATATTATATTATATTATATTATGAGATTAGATTAGATTAGATTAGATTAAACGCCTTGTACCGGAATAAATATTTTTAATGGAGACAAATAGTGTATACCTTAATATTTATATAACTTAGTTATATTATATTATGCTATATCATATTATACTAATATTATATTATATTGTTTTTATTATTATATTTTTTAGTATTTAAATACTTGAGTCAATATATTATTATTATTATATTATATTATTTTTATTGTTATTATATTTTATTAGTATTTATATATTTGAGTCTTTATATTATATTATATTATATTATTTTAAATAAAACAATTTATGCTGCATTAAATATTTTTCTTGGACACAAACTGTTTATAACATTTTTTTTATTTTTAATAGTACTTATATATTTGAGTCCTTATATATATTATATTATATTGTATTGTATTGTATTATTAATTCATTCATTTTCTTTTTGGCTTAGGCCCTTCATTAATCTGGTGTCACCACAGCGGAATGAACCGCCAATTTATCCATCATATGTCTTATGCAGCAGATGCCCTTCCAGCTGCAACCCATTTCTGGGAAACATCCATACACACTCATTTACACACATACACTATGGACAATTTAGCTTATCCAATTCACCTGTACTGCATGTCTTTGGACTGTGGGGTAAACCGGAGCACCTGGAGGAAACCCAGGCGAACACGTTGAGAACATGCAAACACCACGTGACCCAGCTGAGGCTCGAACCAGACATTCTTGCTGTGAGGCGACATCACTACCCACTGAGCCATCTTTTCATTCTATATTATATTATATTATATTATATTATATTATATTATATTATATTATATTATATTATATTACATTATATTACATTATATTATATTATGTTCACACCTTGTACTGGAATAAACAGTTCATGTATAAAGATTAGATTAGAAAATAAAACATACACACAGTGTTGGAAAAAGTTACTTTTGAAAGTAATGCATTACAAATTTTATGTCATTCCCCAAAAAAGTAACTAGTTACGCTACTTGGTTACTTTTTATGGACAGTAATGCGATACAATACTTTTGAGTTAATTTTAAGTTACAGGATATTTTTTGAAATAAAGGAGCTCTGCATTTAACGATACATTGTATAACCTACACCTTCATTTACCTGTAAAAACAATTAGTGATGCTATATATGCAGGTTATACAGATTAATGAAAATTTGCTACTAATTTCATCTTATTAGTTCAGTAAAATCACTGTCCATTGAGACAATCCCTTTTCTTCCGAGTGTTCAAAAATAATTATTTTTTAAGTAAATAATAAATCTAAAAAGTAGCTTGAGTTACATTTTAGAAAAAAAACTCAAATATTGGTACTTATTTTTTTTTTTAAGTAATACGTTATTTTACTTGTTACTTAGAAATGTAGTATTATTACTTCATTCTCATTACTTGTAATGCATTACCCCCAACACTGCGCGCACACACACACACACACACATCAAATTTTATTTTTTTATTATTGTTTTAATCTAGTTTTTACACACGAACACACACACGTTAAAAATGTAGGAAATAAATGTACACTGTTATGCTATATTCTAATGTTTTGACTCCAGAGTTTAATATAAGTACTGTACAAGCGTTTTGGCTCAATTTGTTTCAGAATATTTATTTTTCACATTTATCTGTCATTATTATTACTATTTTCTTTACACATCCACAGATGATTTTTTTCACAAATACTATGATTTCGCATTCATAAATAGCTTGCATTTTAATTTCATGCCGACTTTACCGTGTTTGCATAAAACCCTGTCATTTAGTCGAATATTAACATTTTGGGTTGTTTTCAAATGATTTTGCCTTGCCACTGATGCAAATGTGTGCCACTTACTAAATATCAGGAGAAATCATTTTTGTGACAAAAGCTAGAAGCCCAAGAAGAACGTAACATTTGATTTTACGCTCCACTGTAGAAAAAGGAAAGTGTGACAGAAGATTTGGAGCCGGGACTTGTGCTGATAAGACACTCCATTTGTTTCCGCTTTCGCCGACAATCCACACAATCTGGAGAAACAGATTGTCTGAATGAACTGTTTGAACAATGAAAACTTACAAACGCCAGAGGAGAACTAGATTTCCTTTGACATTTTCTGAAGAAGAAGAAAGTGTCGCTTTGCAAAAGTCACCTCTAGCCAAGATGTCTGTACTGTAAGTCTATTAGATGTCTTTAAGCAACAACAACAAATAAGCCATCCCTAAGATGACATCCCACAAAGCAATTTTGTGTTTAATAGACCTCCAAACATATCTTGGCTAAAGCAAGGCTAAATTTGGGCCGTCAGTGAATATCTAATAGGCATCTAACAAAAGATTAATAATTGACTAATCATCAAAAACATAGATTATATGTAATTGTATGTAAATTTACATGTAGTCATTCATTGCTGTCTATTTGATGATTGGTCTATTTTTGGTCTATTATTAGACGTCTATTAGACATTCACTGACAGCACAAATTTAGCCTTGTTATAGCCAAGATGTCTGTGTTTGTAAGTCTATTCAGCCTGATCCCACGAGAAAACGTAAGTATTTTACGTTTTGCCAGTTTAGTGGCTAATTCGTACAAATTCGTACGAGTTACGTCATACGAAATGGTATGATTTTAAAAAGGAGGCGTGGCACCTGACCCCACCCCTAACCCCAACCGTCATTGGGGGATAAGCAAATCGTACTAAATTGTACGAATTCATACGAATTAGCCACTAAATGAAAAAGTTACGAATTGCCGTGAGATTGTGTTGGTCTATTAGATGTCTTTTAAGCCCCAAAGAAAATAAAAAAAAATAAAGCCACCGCTAAGATAACATCCCACAAAGCATATTTGTGTTTGATAGACTTCCAAACACTAAAGTCTTGGCTAAAATTTGGCTAAATTTGGGCTTTCACTGAATTTTTAATAGACATCAAAAATAGTCTAAAAATAGACTAGTTAATAAATATGGAGACTTTAAATGTGTAGCCATTCTTTCCTGTCTATTTGATGATTAGTCTATTTTTGGTCTATTATTAGACGTCAAGGCTAAATTTGGGCTGTCAGTGAATATCTAGACGTCTAAAAATAGACCAGCAATAGATAATAGTCATCAAATTCACAGATTAGACAGACTTTACATATAGACATTCATTCCAGGCTATTTGATGATTAGTCTGTTTTTGGTCTATAATTAGACATCTATTAGATATTCACTGATAGCCCAAATTTACCCTTGTTTTAGTCAAGATGTGTTTTATAGGTCTATTGGATGTCTTTTAAGCAAAAAAGGGTCAATTCTAAGATGACATTCCACAAAGCAATTTTATGTTTAATAGACCTCTAAACACATCTTGACTAAAACAAGGCTAAATTTGGGATGTCAGTGAATATCTAAAATAGACGTCTAATAATAGACCAAAAATAGACAATAGTCATCAAATACACAGATTAGATAGACTTTACATGTAGTCATTCATTCCAGGCTATTTGATGATGAGTCTTTTTTGAACTATTATTAGACGTCTATTAGATATTCACTGACAGCCCAAATTTAGCTTTGTTTTACCCAATATGTCTGTGTTTGTAAGTCTATTAGGTGTCTTTTTAGCAAAAAAAAATAATAAAAAAGTCTCCTCTAAGATGAATTACAAAGCGATAGTGTGTTTAATAGACCTCTAAACACTTAAGTCTTTATCTAAAACAATGCTACATTTGGGCTGCCCCTTAATGTCTAATAGACATCTAAAAATACTCTATTCGTGTAGCCATTCATTCCAATCTATTTGATGTCTATTGTGGACT